GTGTTATTCACTTTTCACTTCCGCGTGATATAACTTGCATGCTCCCAAACTTGATTATGGAAAGAACTGCAATCAGTAAGCACTTCAATTCTGTTAAAGTAGTTATGTAAATATCAACAAAAGAAAAAAATCACAATAGGCAAAACTAAGAAATAAACTAAATACCAAACTATGGATAATAAAATCAATTCTATCTCAATTCTAAGTAGGGAACTGAACTAACCTGCTTTGCCTCAGCTATAGCTCCAAGTTATAAGATACATCTCACGATGTTAACCAGGTGGCTCTATGCTTCAACTTCCTCTGGGTAGTTCATGACGTAACATGAGCTGTTACTGCTTGATTCACTCAACACCTACAAAATATATGAACATGTTGTTTCACACAATGTCAGGCTAAAGAAAATAAACTTTGTATAAAACTGTATTGAGCAGAATAAAATTTTGAATTTTGGATTTCATTCCTTATAAATATTTAAATTTTTGAACAAGAAGACAGTAACTCCCCAGAATCACACTGGAATAGCCTGACAACTGGTAAAGTCATACACCGTTGTCACAAATGGCGGACATAATCGTCGCTTCAACTCTTTAATCACTTGGTCGTCGTTTCATAGGTCTTTACCGTCGATAATTCGGTGCATGTATTAAGCTCTTGTGATGATGTATTATATGAAATCCCAATTTAATATCTTATAGTAGTGAAACTCAACTGCCATTGGTTTAATGTTCCATTAAGATGCTTCGACAGCATTAACCCATGAGGGTGTTGTCATTTGACCAGGGGATGATTTTCCCAATGCGTTTGCTGGCATTGCAGTGGGTGAAACATCTGGGTCAGACACCTCCTGGTAGTACGAGTAGAGTAGGAGGTTATTGGACATAGAGATGGCATCCCCAGCTGGGAAAGCATTCGGAATACGAGATGAGAAGCTCAGCTTGGCCTTTCTGAACGCGCCTGGAGTGTACTCATCCAACCAATCAATCAACCTGTAATATTATGAAGTGTATAGAGGGGATCAGGGGAACAAGCAGGGGATGAGATGTGATGGAAAATAGGATGGAAGAAAGAGAATTTAATAAATTGATATATTGTCCATAATCTTATGTGAAATGTATGAAATAGGAGACGGATGAAAGATAAATGACAAAGAGCAGGATCAGAATGAGCAAGGGGACATGATTTGTTTAACAATTCATTTTTTATTATTTTTTATTAATATAATCAGTAGTCTAATAATATATAATCAATCAATTACTGTTTGAACTTGGCTCTGACATTGTTTCAAATTAAATGTGGATTTTGATTTCTTCATAATGCTGAAATAGAAATTTAAACTTTTCATTACAAAAAGGTCATGCTGACCTGTAATATATTTATTTATTAAACCTCAATTCTTAATCAAGATCACATCTGATCAACAATAACAGCTATAACCTTTTCTTTGATACAGTTCGATTTTTGATTGACAGCTCTATTTTTGTACCTTCCATATTTGGAAGTGAAATTGATGAACTGTGTTAAAACTCCAAGGTCAAACTGATCTAGTCACTCTCTAAGACAATTTGAAAACAGAATTTTAACTAAAATACATTGACTCTATGTTTGTTTTTCTCAGTAAATGCATATTTACAGAGAAAATCACCTTCTAAACCATTCTTATTTATCAAATATCAGTTTATTTGGGAGGTTTCAATCATTACCTTTTTTATTCTAAAGGAGATTTTGGCTGTATTTTATAGGGGTGTTTTGTCAAGGTTTTGTCTTCCCAAGTTCAGGGTTTGTTTAAATCGTATAAAACTGTCATCCCTTAGTATTATAATTTTAAAAATATTTTATTTGTCTATGTTTTCATTCTATTATCTTACTGTAATACGATTTAGTGGATTTATGTAATGTTGACTGACTGACAACAATTTAATGCAAAAAAAGTATACATAGTTTATATAACTGTTTTTGTTAACATTTTTTGTTTTTAGTGCAATTGTTTTTTGTTCCTTTTTTACCATTCCTTGAGAATGAAATAAAATGTCTTTCCTAAGCTAGTTGGAACAAAATAGCATCTACAACATTTTCTTAGACTTCCCAATATTGTACAAAGGAAAGTTTGGTTGATTTAACAAAAAGTATTCAAAAAATTAAAACAAAAACCCCCGAAATAGATAAAACTAAGATAAACCTTAATTTCATTAACAAGATACTTTTTTTAAATCAACCAAACTTTCCTTTGTATAATTACAAATATTTAGAGACATAAACACGTTGTGTTTATCTCGTTTTGTTCCAATGAGGTTCGGATAGATGTTTCATTTTATTCCGAATATGATACCAACAATATAAGAAGTGTCCGATGTGTTTTCTAAAACAATATAGAGAAAAGTATCTATTTCAAATTACATTGTTACCATCCAAAATATGACCATTAAATTGACAATGTGTTAAATTTTCAGAATCTTTTGACGGCTGGTTTAAGAGAAACGTGTGTTCAAAAAGTTCACCATATGGATACCCATCCTTTGCATGTCTAAAAAGTATAAACCACAGTGCCTTTGAGTAAACAGGTTAGGATATTAAATGACAACATTTAGCATGAGTTTTACTTTCCATAACCCAACCTCTTACCAAGAGACTAGATGCGAGTAGAATAGTCTTGATTTAAGTCGTTGAAAAAAGAGTTTGTCAACTTTGAAAATTTAATTTTCTTTAAAAATGTGATTTCTAGGTCGGGGGGATTCTCTATGTTGTAAAATCACAAAAAGTAAAATATGTTTTCTTGTTTTGGACATATAGCATTTTCTTTTTACTGGACATATTTTAATTCATATAACTATCAGAAACATAAGGATAATATGAAAAGTGAACCACTAAAACTGCTGAATATTCAAGTTTATGGGAACTTTGTTATACCCTGCAATGTTATTAGCCCTAAATTAGCCACCTGGCAAAAAGTTTACTTGAAAATATATTCTTTTAGGTCATTCCATATCTTTTTAGTAATATTGTATAAAATATTTTGCAATGTGTGAAAAGTATTTAAGCCCAAGACTCAATACATTCAGGAATGACCATTTCTTTCAGGCGTTGTTTCTTAAAATTAACACTCGATGCTGGTGCATCTCGTGCAAATTTTGGAAAGCAACACCTTCAAAGTATTGGTCATTCCACATTACACTGAGTCTAGGGCTTAAATCCTTAAGTCACATACAGGAAAGAGTAATATTGAGTAATGATGCTTTTATAGTAATAGTTCAGAAGGTCCTATGAACCTTTTAGGGAAACCATATTTTGTGCTAAAATGTTTTTAAACGAAATATTTAGAAACTACTTTTTACTTTTTTAATTCTCATATCCTTTATTCCAAACTTTTCAAACTTTTACTTACCTACTCAGTACTGAAACTAAGATTAAAATGTGCAGGCATTTTACATCAATAACTTTATATACATCTTCACTAGGTCAAATGCACTTTTGAGATTTGAAATGACTTAAATCAATTTTTACAATAAAATTAGCAAAGAACAGTTTATGTTCTAATTCATGTTAAAGTTACCACTAAAATGTTAAGCTGTCTAGTTTACAGTACGCTACTTGTCTGACACTTTAAGTACAACTGAAATATAATTTCTTTGCTTCTAGAGTTGTAAGTTTCTACAATATCCTTAAAATAGCTCCAAAGATAAAAGTTTGGGGATTCATATTGGGTGATTTTTGCATGTTTCAATATTTTGAGCATGTTTTCTCAAATGGCCACAAAATCGCGACCATTAAAAAAAAGGCCAATAAAAACGAAATAGATTTAAATAACATTAAACAAGGTTCAATCGTGCCAAATATGACTTCGAATCCATGCTGGATGACAGAGTTATTAATATTTGTTTGGGTTACCTTTTTTGGTTCACCCTGTACATTTAACAAGTTATTAATAGCAGAAAGTCTTAATTGAGTGAGGTATGTCAAGAAATACCTATAAATCAATGTAAGGTCACTTAATTATCTCATTTTTGGTACATTTTATTACAAAAATATCATTCACTGCACTCTAAGTACACTTAGTGAAAAACTGAAGATGAAAACAATGCGGGGAAGGAGAATTCATATTTATAAAATAACATGTGACTCTTGAGCATAGGGATTGCATCAAATTAGCCGAAAGTACACATGTACCTCGAGCACATCTTCACAGTATGATAAAATGAAATCCACCTGAATAAAACTTATTTAGATTTTAACATCTTGCATGTGCAAAACATGGTTACTTTAAGACTCTTTTATGACTTGGTTTAATATTTATTGTGTGCAGCCTTCAACCTAAATCAGACCATTTCAATATGGATATAGAAACACTGACCTCGAACTTTATTGTAACTTGGTGCACTATTAATGTAAGACATACCGATGATTAGATTTGTAGTGTTAGAAAGATTCATACTTTAAACTGGAACGGATTCAAAATGAAAAAAAAATGAGAAAGTCTGCATGTTTTCTTTTTGATTTTTTCCAAAGAATGGTATTTTTCATCATCGAATTCACTGATATGGCATTTCATTATTGTTTATAAACCTAAACTAAATCAAAATGCTATTCTTTCCCAAATAGGTTGCAATTCCAGTCTAATCGGGAGATTTTTGAGAGGAAGGCGTATCCTGCTAACAAGGAAGGGCGTATTTCAAATCAGATTTTTTTGAAAATTTAAGGGCCCATTCTTGATAATTCGGCCTAAAATTAAAAATAAGTCCAAAAAGCCCAGTAATTGAGGCCCTACAAAAGCAGGGAAGACAAAACATTTTTAATAGAAATGTTTTAGTGATCATTTGAAGATTTTTAAGGAGTGTTTTAATTGAATTCATTTCAGCAGTAATAGTTTTGGGTCAAAAGCCAATAAATCACCAGATTTTTAACTGGAGACCTTGACATCTTAATTTTGTTTGCACCCATAATTAAATAAATAATTGGTTGAGAGGTATGCCGTTTATTCACTCATGTATGAGAACTGATTACAAGGCTGATTTAAAACTGTTGAGAAAATGGCAATGCTTAGAGGTGTTTCAAATCTTTTTGGAAGAAGTTTGAAATACTGTAGGGCAGTGAATGGAGTACAAAACATGAAGTACTCTGAAGAAGTTGAAAAAGCACATGAATCACAAAATATGGATATTATGTTTGGTATGGTAAGTTTTTTTTACAATATCTCAGTTAGGCAAACATGTAAATTACTGTATTTGAGAACCAGATTAAGACAGTACTTAACAACTCCCATTTCGAGAATCTTTTACGGGGCACTTTTATAACGATGACTTTTATTTTAATCATTAATATGAATGTGTGAATTTAATGTATTAATTAATGTACATATGTAAGACTTGAAAAATGCTTTTCTTATGATTTAGAATTGGGAGGATGTTGCACCAATAAGACACGCAATGGAAATCAAAAGTGGCGATAGAATCTTCACGATTGCATCATGTGGTGCCAATGCTATGACCCTTCTACTCGATGATCCTGCTGAAGTTGTGGCCCTAGATTTATCCATTCCACAGCTGCATTTGGCAAGATTACAGGCAGCTTGCATCAAACATCTGACATACCAAGAGTTTATTGACTTTGCTGGAGTTGACAGAGAAAGAGTAACACCTGAGGAGCGTATCCGGATATACAACAGCATCAAGAAAGCACTAGAACCAGGTGTGCAAGAGTTTTGGGACTCGATGACAGCTGAAATAGAGTTTGGTGTGATACACTGTGGATACTATGAGAAATTGTTCAGAAATGTTGCAGAAGACATGGTCTACGTAGCGCTTGATAAGCATGATATTAAGAAGTTTATTACAATGGGTGATAATATTGAAGATCAGGCCAGCTTCTATGAAGATGTCATCAACAATAAACATTGGAGAAAATCAGTTTACAGGTTGGCGTACCATATGATGAAGGATTTCAATTTCTCTATTATTCCAGATGCGGATTATGGAACATTCTACTACAGAAGAATGGTTGATATTTATAAGAGCATCCCAATGAAGCAAAACCACTTTGGTGAATACCTTTTAACGGGTGGTTACTCTGGGAAGTATAACCTCAGAGATTACCTTCAAGAAGAGAATTTTGCAACGCTGAAAGATCGGGTTGGACGTATACAGTGGGTATATGGAGAACTAACAGACTGGCTAGCCAACTACCCAAATACTGGGCAACCAAAATTTGATGGGATCTGCGTATCTAACATTACCGACTGGTTGTCGTTAGCCAATCACAATGCAACCATTAAATCAGCTGCCGAAATCTGCAATCCTGGCAGAAGAATAGTATTTTGGAATCTGAAAGGTATGCCAAAATACTGGCCAAGTGACATGATCGACAAAGCTGTCAAGGTTGAGCATGAATTAGAAGCCACAGCATTGCTGCTAGATAGGTCACCATTTTGGGAGCCTCTCAGAGTTGCAACTGTTGTATAGACAAATTGAGACAATATAAACAGAACTTATATGCTTTGTTGGTGAAATATATTGGGCAAGACCTATGTAGATTTTTAATTTAAGGCACGCTTATGGGACAATATGGTATAATTAAACGCTCTTGATTCGAATAAAAATGTAGTGTACGTTATAAACAGGAACGTTATGAATTGACTGTAGAGTTGTTTTCTAATAGTTAGTTGTACTCTTAAATGTGATCTTTTCTGTTTGTACACCTGATGAAAAAATATTTAAGTTATTTCAAGATGAAGAATGAGAAGCCTGTTTACTTAAAGATGCATTATGCCATAGGTTTCTCCCCCAGACAATCAATGATGTCCTATTGTTATTGCTCATATGATATCTCACATACCATGGATATATCTTGAGAATAACTTTTGGGTATATTATTGCCGAAATATCGGAAATAATCAACAGAACAACCAAACTCCAGAATTAAACACAATCGACCCCTCGGCTAGCGAGGGGAATCTCCATTGAGTCACACAAGCGCCCACAAGCACCTTGAACCAGGCAGCCAATCAGGTTTATGATAAACAAATTCAACGACCAATCAGATAACAGGAGGACTTTCCCGGTATATTCAAACTTCAGATTGAATTAATTTCTTCGAAAATAATTAGATCGGCCAGCACAATCGCAAAATTAACACTGAAAGAGGGGGATTTGGAACTTAGATGGGTATATATGTGGTGAAACTCAATATGCAAAAAAGTCCAGAGGGGTCTTGATTGTGCTATCCTATGGCATAGAGCCTCTTTAATTTTCATATTTTTTTAGACTAACTGAACTTCTGGACTTTGGTCTTTAAATATTGATATGTCCATATGGCATATGCCCTTTTTGATTTTATCTACTTAAAATGAGATCACTTCAGAAGCTTGTGACATATAAAAATATTATACTTGAAAATAAAGTTTAGGCCATAAGAAGTAGATTCTTTGTTTTGCGTCCTGTGGCAAAATCCAAATCATGCAAGGGTACAAGGAAAACAAACACAAGCTCAAGAAAAAACACAAACTTGTTTGCTGAGAAATGTATTACACGTCGCACGAAACTGGGGACAATTAGCGTAACATTATGGCGTCAAAATACCAAAACAAAATGATGCCATTCTACTTACAGTGAATGACAGTCGAAGCAATTAATATTGTGAAGTCATTGTCATTTTATGTCAAAGTCTGTCATTTTTTCTTTCCCGTTTAAGTCTCAAGGGTGTTTACAATGTTGCACATTTAATTTTGTCAAGGATATTGTGAATCCTTCCATTGATTAGCAGTTTATGAGAAAACCATCGGACGGACGAACGCGCCTAGGCCGACAATATGGCCCCACACTATTATATGCTGGGGACATAACAAAGGATTAATAAAGTCCCACAGAGAAACATGTGCTGGCAGTTTTATATTACGGGGTTGAATTTTTTGAATTTTCTTGCAATATCAATATCAAACGGATTCACCTTATTCTAATACAATAACTCAAATACAAAATAAACTAGTGGTCATAATTATCATTTTATATTTCAGGTGTTATGAAATCTATATTCAGAAGATGACAATTTTATGTTCGGAGAATGCATCTTTCACCCGCTTTGCAGAACTTCCTATTATTAATGCATTTTTTCATTTCCCCGCGTATTTCATGCGTGAACACTCCTCCACGTGCTATTTCACTGTATTCTCCACTGATCGTCAATGGTGAGGTGCCGTTTGCTGATCCCGCTTTGATCTTTCTGTTTGAGCTACAATAAAAATGATGAAGTCAGTGAAAGAAGGTCTAACACTTATTTACGGTATGAGATAAACACTGTGATTAAGGAAGCTATTACAATGGGCAGTTTGGCAAAAAGGATTAAGCCAAAACTATCTACTAGACAAACAGTATCTAGGAATCAATGAATCGTTGTTTGTTTAATGTATTGAGCACGGTGTCCAACCCAAACCATCGTGGTAAGCCACGCCCTCTCCATCTCTATCCTTATCTGCTCGGGGTATTGTTCATCGAATGGTACATAATACAAGGGCCGATCAAAAAGTTTCTTACCGTAGGCTCTCAATTTTATAATAAGAGGAGTTGGATGCTCAAACTTTTACATAAGACAGGGTAGTAAGTTTGCTTGAGACTGTCTGAGTTTCATTAAAATTGGTATATTGGTAGTGACACAGAGTCAATATATATTTTCAATGATTGAATTAGGTGGAGCAGCGTTTTTTATAAAAAATTGTGCTAAGCTGCAGTTTTGGAAATTTCTAACACTAAGTCTTGTCATCTGTCAACAGACTGTAGTTTAATCATGTTTAATTCGTTTTTCTGCTATTATTCATTCTCATTCAAAATATTCAGCCCCAGTTGCAATGCACCTCCTATATCTGTCCACTCGATCCAAAAACACATGTTTAAGGCCTTCGTATGAGAGATTTGAAACAATGTCGGTAAATTTCCAGAACCACAACTCAGCAGATATTTTATATATATAACGCTGCTCCACCTAACTTTGTCATTGAAAATATGAATTGACTCTGTGTCACTACCAATAACTCAATTTATATGAAACTCGTACAGTTTCACGCAAACTAACTATCCCATTTCATGTTAAAGTTTGAGCTTCCAACTCCTCTTATTATAAAATTGAGAGCCAACGGTAAGAAACTTTTTGATCGGCCCTTGTATGTCACCATAACGTATTGTAGGAGAAACGAGTGAAACAATACTTACGGTCATAGTGGGAACTTCAAAAGCCGCCATTTTATTTCGCTCCGCAGTGTTTCCACGTGAATGAAACGCTCCGTCGTGCATTTAAGAGCGTTTGGGTTGGACGCCGTGTTGAGGTTCTTCTATGCATATGACTATCATTCAAGAAACGGGTGCATTAAATCACCCACAATTCTTACGCAACGATTCATTTACTTGACACAAAACAAAACCGTTATATCACATATAGTATCTAATTATGAAGACACTGTAGTCTCTTACTTACAGCAACTGTGCCACGATTGGCATTGGTCCAGATGGGCCTTGTCTACCAAAGGTGCAAGAATATGTAACATTGACGAGGTCACCGATTTTAATTTTCTGTGGGTTAAGATGTGGGCCTACGCACTTAATAGTACATGCAGCAACTTCTTCCGCCTCTACAACAAGTATTTAATTAAACGCACGGTATGCTATGACTTGCATTTCAAAGAGCTTTTTGGTCTTGTTCTCATTTAACATATGTTATCATTGCAACGCATTGCTGGAGGCTGCAAGAAGCCGAATGGTACTTTTTGGCTGATTCGGACTACTCTGTACAATTCTAAGAACCTTGCCTATGTAAGCATGAATGCATTCAAACTGTTATGCATCTAACTTACTTTTACAAGTTCCATTTTTGCAGAATCTTTTCTTTTTGCATTCTTGATGGCGAGAGCAGACTTCCTCATCATTCTTCTGTAGTTCGCAGTAGCCTTTCACAAGGGTCACTAGTCCACCTGATGTACAATATTTATGTCTACCCTTTCTGTACACCAAACAGTCAGGATCAGAACGACACCTCTCGCTACACGTGCCTTCAAGATATCATACATTTCGGTAAATATTTCCGTTTGGAATTTTCTGAGAAAGTAAAATGGATGATTGACAGATTTTCACACTAAGTACAACTACAGAAACAGTTTCTCATTTTATGATTGAAAACAAAAATGCTGTCTGAAAATCTGGTTACTCACCATTTTCACAATGAGATCCTCCTAGACACGCCACGCTTCTGTTACAAGCCCCTGGTGGTTTAATCATCTTTACACATGTTCCATTTCCACTCTTTTCATTTTCACAGTACCAATTAGAGTTACAATCTCCGTGATTTTCACATTTCTTTGCTTGTGCTTAATGAAATAATTAACGTTTTATTTATTTTTGTAACTTATTAGCCTAGTTTGAAAATTGACCTCCAAGTCAAACCTATCATGGTGAAAATGAAAAAAAAATTATTCTACTAAAATAGGTGGAGAAATTTATGACAAATTTGATCTGAAAAAAATCGTCACTTTCATGTAAACCAAAGCGAAATGGTGGGTTCTGGGCAACCAAATCTTAGGTTATCTATTCAGTAAAGGATTCACCAAAAAGTCTTATACAACTTGTATAAAATTGAATTGTTTAAGTTTTTACTCGCTAAGTCTCTTACTTAGTTTGTGAACATTAAAGTCACAGAGGTTCAAAGTCATTTATTAAAATCATTCCTGAAAAAGAGGTTTCATGAAAATTGATTTCGACTTTTGCGATGTGCTTTTTGCGTTTTCTATATCACTTGCTGTAGGTTGTTCGCCTATCTTAATACCTCGACCATCGGTCTTGGTTTTAGTATGAAACAATCCATTTCTGATATTTTTCAACAAACAAAGCAACAAGTTCCGTTCTTGAATCCTCAAATAAACTAACCAGAGTATCAATATAATACTCTCCGAAGTCAACTATCAATTGATTCAGGAAAATACAGAACGTATTGCACACAGGAAAGAATTAATGAATATCACGAGGCACATAAATTTTACTATTGAATACGTGAAATATATTTCGTATATGCTGTATATTCTTTTATAAGAATAATATTGTCATATAATTTAATATAAAAAACATCAAACCTTACCCGTTAGTGCAACCATAACTATAAGATATGTTATCATATACTGCATGGTTATATTCAGCTATGCTGTCTGCGATGACCGCTACTTATGATTGAATATAGGTTAAATCCTAAAATCATAGAGTTTTTATAACCGTTACCATGCACGGTAGGAACAATATCGTGATATTCATTTATTGTTTTCGATGGATCAGCTGTACATAGTATCAAATTTTTATGCTTATTATCATTATTATAGAAACCACATATCCTAGTAAATATAACACGATTATTGCGGTGAAGAAATAAATGATGACAATGATGTGACTAGCAGGATATATTAAAATTTCATATATACAGGGTGGGCCAAAAAACGCCACTTTTTCAAAATGCTATAACTTTTGATAATTTGCATAGCAAATGAAACTTGGGGATGCTATCTAGCCATGGATCATGAATTATACACTTTTACTTGAATAAAATATGTCACCAGCGTCTCACTTAAACATGTGGTGTGCCATGAGAAATAAACATAATTTGCTATATGTTCCTGAACTGATACTGCCTGATGACCACCAAGCTTATGGTCCTGATGCAATCCCCAATGAGTATAGGGTATGGAAGGTCTCCACGATATGGTATGAAGATCTGAATCTAAAAAATTGCCCAACTAAAGATTGCAATATTATGACAGGTTGAAAGAAACTTAGCCAACATTTCACTGATACTGCTATATGAGCAACGCAACTAAGACTAAAATATATCATCAACGAGAGTGGCGGACCAATTGAACTCCTCTTTTAGATCAAATATGATCCAAGTTGAAGAAATTGTTATTTATAGGATATCCTATGATTTTGAGGAATATCATTTCTATCTACGAGAGAGCGAAGCGAACGAGTGCATATATCAATATCACCGAGTAGATTAAAATGATATTCTGAAAAAATCATAGGATGTTCTGATCTTATTATCCTACACTTACAAGGAGTGTACTAAATGTATAATATCATTGCAAAATTAATTCCATGCCAAATAGAGTCAATTTGGCGGGAAATCAACAAGCGGAGTATATCGTCACAATATCCTCCGCATATTTGGGTTTCCGGAGTATATCGTCACGATATCCTCCGCCCGGAGTATATCGTTACGATATCCTCCGGATATTCATTTTGCCAATAAATATCAAATTTATTTTTTAATGTTATTATACATTTAGTACACTAAGTGTAGGATAATATATTATTACTATGAACCCCTGGCAATATATAACTCCAAAATTTGGGGTATATAGTTTGGAAAATTAAAAAGTTATAGTTTCTTGGAAAAGTGGCGTTTTTTTGGCCCACCCTGTATGAAGGTTAACCAAATAAAAGTAGTGGCATGAGAAATGAGTGGAACTCCTGTGAAAGATCTTCCCTTTGAAATGTAATCTGAATATCTTGAGGTACATGTAACTGTAGAACTGCATTGTAGAACAAGAGGGGAAATAACTTCACGTTGCACATTGAGTCCAGGGCTTTTGGTTACTCTCGTAATAAATTAAAGTACGAATGGAACTGAAACAGCACCAGAAAAAGATCAACATGTAATTAGACAACCCAGTCCAGCTTAGTATGAGAGGTTTCAAGTTTTGTTTTATTGTTCTTCGAAAACGGTTTTACCCCAAATCTTTAAAAGAAGTAGCATGATACATTTTGCTTACCATCATGAAATATCGCTGAGACATGTTTATGGCACAAATAATTTTTGAAATCTCCAACAGTCATTAGTGTAGGTCCATTAGTTGATTGAGTTTATGTTGTTAAACTTTTGAAGGGAGTTGATGACATATCATGCATATAGAATGTTTATTGTCATGAAGTTCAGAATGGAAGGTATACACATTAATTTGTAAAGGTCGTTTAAATTAAGGGATCTTATGAAGTTGTGGGTTGTCAATAACAAAATATATCTTTGGATTACTCACAAAATTATAGTAAATAACATGTAAATAATACTATTCAAATTAAAATACATTTATTATTATGGGGTTTCAGGGATTTTAGACCATCTTCATTTTTTTCTTTCCTTTGCAATATTATCCTTCTGTTTTTCCCGTATATCTATATTAATCAACTGACTGCTATAATTATGTTTTATATAAATTCTTTATTTTATTCTAAGAGGAACTGTGAAAGCATGTTTGTCTTTTTAAAATTGGGCCTTAACTGATTCAAACAAAAGCCTGGTGATTTATCATGGTCAGTGGCAATAACCACTTGCATAAATATTTCGCTTTTAGGCATTGAATGAAAATTGGAAGATGATACATGTATCTTTAATAAAAAAAATAACAGCAATTTTCACTAAACTACAATATTCTGATGTTTATATATTTGTTTATTTTTTGCACATCTTTACAGGTCGGTCTACACTGGGTAAACATAATCGAAATATTGGTTTGAATAAGAGCCGTTCTTTAACGCCCATGGTGCTAATAAAGTGTTCCATTCTATTGTCCAGCATATAAGGTACACTTTCTATTGGCTGAACAACTTTGCTTGTTGTTCTTGCATCTACGCATAACTGCCTGCAGACTCGCCGCAAACTCGCCCTTCCTCGCCACTTTAGTTACAGAGCCACTTATGGTCTGTGGAGAGATTCCATCTACCTTTCCAAGTACTTCCTTGTGGTTCAACCTGATGTAATAAAATCAAAATATCAAAACTATATTAAATAGACGGCATGTAACTTATATAGTTCATTGTTTGTGTAAAAAGGTGACCGAAGTGCGTCGGGTTGTGAATGAGAGTTCTGATACTCATAAAACTGTTTCTGTTGCATTGTAGTTTGTCCAGAAAGACAGAGGTAGACTCAGTGAAGACGTGGATTTCAACGATAGTGCATTGTCAGCTGGCTGGTCGATCACCTCGATAGGGCTGGTTTGTTAGTAATTCTACATTGAAATACCAAGGGCTAATGATTGGCATTGGCATAGCTCCTGGACCAATGATTTCAAACTCATCGTTTCTGCATAGGTATTACCAATACAATATAACAGTGAACAGCCTACCTGATACTACCTCTGAGTTGTTTATGTCCCATCTCTTCCCTCCTGATAAATTCACAACTGTAGGTGACATTTACAATAAATCCTGGCCTGATGTGATCAGGTTTCCTTGGGTCTGGTCCATAGCAGTTCAGGCTGCATATTACCACCTCTTCGGCAACTGTAAAGCAGAAAGGACATAACATCTTTAAAATGTTTGCCTGTTTCAAAACGTTTTAAGGTCTTTGTGTAAGTGATTTTATTAATCCCACATCTTTTTTAAAGCGAAATAATTGTGTAAAATAATGACCAAACATCTGGGCTACAAGGATAAACACTGTCTCTTACCTTTACATTGTCCATTTTTGCAGAACATTTTTCCAGCGCATTCTGGTCCTCTCCCACAGCGATATCCTCTCTCATGTTTCATCTCACATCTTCCCTTCTGTGTGCCAGCAGTTCCTCCCACACTGCAGTACTTGCGTGTGCCATTCTTGAATTGCAAGCAATCACTGTCAACTCTACAAGTCTCCTCGCATGTTCCTGTAATAATTACATCACTGGTATACTTAGACTGCTCTAAAAATAATTCTATTTATTGGGTGACATCTGAACTCAAAGTATTTCATATTACGCTCTTGGAGCTTTAATTCAACAATTATTGTCTTGTAGTTTTCTTATTTTGAAGAAAACATTGTATCAGATATCCTGACCATATCTCTATTCTTTGGTATACATGATTATATTTTATGATAGTTCGATGAGAAGTTTATTATTTACCATTTCCTCGTGGCACACACTTTGACAAATTAATGCACTCATCATTTTTCTTGCACGGTTCACCGATTGCTTTCATCGGTTTGCATGTTCCCTGGTCGCACCATTGTTTACAGGGGCGTAGGAAGGTGTAAATTCAACACTACGCCAAAAATCCCGCCAAAAATATGAAACAATTGTGTCAATATTCTATATCAAAACGCCTATTTTATGCTCGTAAAATGTCATTTTATGAAAACAGAGATTTTAAGCTTGCAATGGTTTTCACAACCTAAATGTGAACGGAAATACTTAAGCGATGCATTTGTATGGGCGATTGGTCATACGTATAGGTTGGCGTTTCGATTTTATATGCAAGCTTTAAATCCCTGATACCTTTTTAATGTGCTTTAAAATGTTCGAATGATTTTCATCATTTAAAATCACCTTGGAAAGCCTATCTTTTAAATCTCGACACAAATCATTCTCACTTTGCTAATGTCTCGAACGATTGAGACGACCAATTTCCAAAACAATAAGAGATTTTTTAATAATTTTCGAATAATTGAATTTAGATATGTAGTATTTTCTGATTCCATCGTGTACCGTGCAAAACAATACGTACAGATTAAAGAAACTAGTTTGATCAATTGATATGAAGAAACGCATTCGTGATCAATAAAACAAATAAACACCCCCACAACAAAGGTCAAATCGAGGTCAACGTGACTTAGGGGGTGCCAAAAATGTTATAAAACAAGAATCTATTATTTTTCAAATGAAAAAAACTAGGTAATCGCTTTTCTAGAACTGAAATCAATGAAACGTGTTATTGAATAATCAGCATTTTCAAGTTGTTTTTGTCTTTAACATTCATATTTCAAGAAGTACTACTAATAACAATTAGTGATTTAGTAAGAAAATAGATAATTGCTGACTTAACTATAATTTCTGTCTATGATTTTGCATAGAAACGGAATATAAATCGATGTAGTGAAATTGAAAAATCGGGGTAGGGGAGAATAAAAAAATATACATCTTTTAAAGAGGTTCATCATTATAATCATATGATACCATAGTTTGCATAAGCATTACGGAACATGAGAAAAAATGAAAAAACAGTTTTTCTCTCAAATTCGTGAAGAGAACGCGATTCACGAATATTTGGCGAAATTGTATTTTACTTTTAAAATTCATAAGATAGTCTCGATTTTCATGAAATAAAGCATGTTGGTAAGGGAATTCAATCTGTTAAATGATATTTGCCAGACAGACCAATAATGATATGGTATCCACAAAACATTTCTTTAGACTAGTGTGCTCGAGATTACTTTTACAATTTATGAACAATGAGAAAATATGATTAAAGAACATAGGAAAATTTTTATTCTCACTTTTCAACACTACGCACTGGCGTTTTGGCGTACATTGTTCCTACGCCACTGGTTTATGCAAGCATTCATAACTATATCTGCATGTCCTTGGTTCACGTTTACCTTCTACACCTGCTTAGAACAGAAGTCGTGTAAAATACGCAACCACAACTTAAAAAGGATAAAACATAAGCATCAAACACAGCTAGAGAAAGGAGCGTTAAAGAGACAAATCCCAAACATCCTAATCTGTGATCTAAATGACAAAGACACGCTCAATGAAGATACTAGGTCTAAATGATGGTCAACCTGTGAAAATTCACATTCTAGATTCACCGAAAAGGTGGATGCCTTTCGGCTGCGTCGTATACTTAATAAATACTATATAAGTTATTCAATGATTCGAGTGAAATACAGAAAATATTCTTCCCGAGAAGGTCGTATTTCACGATGCGCTAGCAGAGTGAAATACAGACGTTCAAGGGAAGAATATTTTCTGTATTTCACGAGAAATCATTGAATAACGTTTTTATTCCATGATTACTCAGATAAAACTCCCCTAAATCAAGTCCATTTCCTTGGCTTGGGACCGGAGAAACAGATCAACCTTCTCACCTCAAAAATATTTTACATTGATATTCCTTCAAAATCTTTTCGGCCTTGTTGTTTTGCTTTTATTGTATTATACGATACGTTTGATTTTCTTCAACATTTTTCTTCAATTTCATCAGCTGGAACAGTGTAACGAAACGTTTTTTCGACTTTCGTCTGCCATATTGGATTTTTACTAGTTCATGAAAACAATGTGCATGCTTCATACTGATTTTTTTATAATTACAGATGAGTGTTTTTTATCCTAAAATAATAAATTGTGGTGATCACCATATCATTTCCTGATATTCAAATCAGATATTTCTAGCAAAATGCAAATATTAGCATGCGTTGGTGTAAACAGATCGCCATTGATTTTTTCAGTAATAGTCATATCCTGGATGGAAATCTGGGGCGTTGGGATACTGGACCGTATCCCAACGCTGACGTCATTTTCACTCTGTATTAAATGCTAAGTGGAAAGTGCGTGTAAATACAGGATATATTTAAGTCACATGGACCAATCAGATTGCAGGGAATTTCACCATCATGGAATAAATTGTTGTATACTAACAGAATTCAAGGTAAAGTTCATTTTACTACAATGCGACTCTTACCTGTGACTGCGAGGATGATTCCAATTATTACAACCTTCATGTCCAAGCTTGGTTGTTCTATAGTACTGGCAAGTGAACTAACCATACAGATTCCATTATTTATTAAGAAAACCTGCACATCACAAATTTTACCACATCCTATTTCGTGTACTTTATTATTCACGATAAATGTATATTCTTTAAAACCTGCATTTTTAATTAAGGATATTGGTTTTGATTGTGAATTCATGATCAATGTTCACTTTATGTTTTAGCGTGATTTTGTTCATTGCATTGTTTTAATGATTTGTATCCATCATTTTTATTTCTCTAATATTGGGGCTTGTAAGTACAAGGCGTTCAATAAGTACTGATAAAAATGCTGTAACTTTTGTTTTATTTTTTCAAATATCTTACTAATCTTTCTAGTGTGCATATTTGAGTATTACACTGATGTACTGTGAAAGTTACAGGACTGTGCTTGAACAGGAAGGTAGTGCTTGGTTGTGCCAAAAGTGGTTAGTGGTGGATCAGGTCTGCCCGAAAAAAGTCTCAAAATGACCTACTTAAAATGTGAATATTGCTCCTCAGTCAATTGCTTGCGCACCAACTTGTCGCACACCAATGCCATCTCTAAATGTATTGCACTTCAAATCATTCTATAACGTTTTTATCGTGTGATCCTCTGAATTGTTACTGAGAATGTCCCCTCCGAACCAATATTTTCTGTATTGCGACGGAGATGATCAATGGGGACAATCTCAGTAGCAATACAGATTGGTACAGCACAAGAACTGACCAATCAGAAGGCTTAATTTTACAGATCATACTATAAAACTTGGTGCTGCTTCTAATTTTGCTCTTTGATGTCATCAGTAGGTGCTACCAAGGTATCTTAGTACCAGTGTTTATTTACCGACTATCAAAATGGATTCAAAAATAAAATTATGTATGAAAATATTCACATTTTAAGTCGGTTGTTTTGAAAAAAATCATGCAGACCTGAGCCCCGACGAACCATCTTAGGCTCAACCTAGGACTGCCTTCGTGTTAGCGTACATTCTTGTAACTCTCGCAATACATCAGTACAATACTCAACAATGACCAGTAGAAAAGTAAGTCAGGAATATAAAAAATTAAAAAAGTTATGTAACTTTGCATTTTTGTCAGTACTTTTTGAACGCCCTGTATTTGTGAGAATATTGGTTTTGTGATCTGAATATCAGAGAGTATCTATGTTATTCAATAATATAAAAATCTGGTATGGAAGAATGTGAATATCTATTTGAATATTGTCTGTAATATTTGACTTTCCGATTTCGTCTTCACGGTGTCCAACCCAAACGCTCTTACATGCACGACGGAGCGTTTCATTTACGCGGAAACGCTTCAGAGCAAAATAAAATGGCGGGTAATGAGGATTCCACTATGACCGTAACTATTGTTTCACTCGTTTCTCTTACATATCATACGTTATGGTGACATATTATGTACCATTCGATGAACAATACCGTGAGCAAAGATCTTATCTATTTAACTTCTAGTGGTAAACTGTTATTTGCTTGATCAAAGCTCCGTAGTGTAGATCGAACGAATCGATCTGAAGTTGACGAATTGACCACAAATTACGAAATAAACTAGTATTTACATGAAAACGTCAATCTTTCTGTCAAAGTAGTAGATCACAAACTCATATATTCTCATTCCTAAATTCCCAGTCCAATTCCATTACTTGTTCTCGAAAAATCGCTTGTTTTCCTCGAAACGCTCCGTCGATTTAGGACACAATTTTAGATACACTTTCACCATTTTGTTTTGATATCATTTTCAGATTATTAGAGAAGAGTTTGGAATCGAATTTATCTCTCAAAAACGTGTTGTACTTGTTAGGCAAATTGAAACGTCCGAACTTGGTGGTGCTAAACGTGCAACTAGCTGACGTAAGCCTACATTAGATGATGTCATGTCTACATGTGTGGTAAAACATAAAACTATTGAAAAACGAAAAGTTAATATGTGAATTAATCCTTCTTCTTTTGATGCCAACGGGAATAATAGATCTTTTCTTTCTCTTCCTGAAAAGAAAAGTCAAGCTATATATTTCCTAAACAGATCTAGACTAAAGGAGCGTTTCCAGTTCACTGTATTAACCAGATCGGAGCGTTTCTTGAATATGAGAATGTCATCATTTCTAAGAATGGATTTTCGGTCATCGAATCACTATTACGATAATGTATGGTGCGTTGAAGCATTGAAATTTGACCAAAATATACGTTGGTGCTCTAATCTTGGCTCAACTAATCACAAGTTTCGACAAAAGGGGTTTTGACCGGTAGAATGACAAATACGTTTTTGAATTTTGATAACTTTACTGCTTCGCACAGCTCTTCCTAATTGCTTCAAACGCCAACCGCCAGCCAAGTACAACATGAATGTCACACCCATCGAATGGTATACTCGAAATAAGTAACTCATACCCCTTATTTCCATTATTGGTGAAATCGTCAGACGTCTCATCATTCCCGCCCGCCAGTTGTCCTACTCCGGAGCGTTTCTTTGTTTAGTTTCAGTAATGAAACGCTCCGTCGTGCATGTAAGATCGTTTGGGTTGGACACCGTGGTCTTGACTCATTTTATTGCAATATTCATGGAACTGGGGTTTACATTTTGTTCATGAAAGCTAGAAATGTTAAAAGTGTAGCTCGTTAATTATTGTTAAACAAATATATAAAACAGATGCATCACTGAATAGAAGAATGTCCCCGAAGCATGTTTTATTTGTCAGGCGTGTGGTTGAGCATCCGTTAGCAGAGGGTAGTAACATGCCTATGTTTATTTGCTGGTCATGTTGTGGTTGATCGGTCATGTATCCATTAAATTTTATTAAATCTATATCAGGAATTATACATTTATTGTTTTATTGCTGACATTTAAAGACATGGCAAGTGGATTTCCGTTTCATGATTAAATAAATTTTCCCTTTCCGCAGAGAAATGTTTGTAGAAAAATTCCGTTGACAGGAAATACAAATTTGCAAAATCTAATTTGAGGAATGTAGGAAAATATCCTTGATATCTCCTTTTCAATTTCTGTATTATAATCTGTCTAAAAACTCTCCCTGCAAAAACAGAGGAACATTCTACCATGCCTTCCATGTCTGTAAAGAAAACTGACGTATCCAGGATCCATAAATATGGTCCATTCGGTGACGAAGAGATTACTTTACTGAAACGATAATTAAATGTTGACCATTCAAAAATATAAACCACTTTAATGCTATGAATACTATCTAAAAAACTATTTCTATATAAAAGTATTGAAAATCTTCAATTAGATAAATTGCTGTGTTTTATAATGGACTTATTTATTATTGGACTAATGGCGATAGCCTTTCGATGGGTATAGCCCTTCTGCCCCTTTGCATTTGTTCAACTTCACTTCTTAAAGTTCACACCAAGGGCGCTTTGATGGCGCTTTAAAGCGCCGTGCAAAGCCATAGTATGTCATTGAATACTTGTCAACAATATCGAAAGCCTTTTAAATACATTTTTATGTTTTACTTTATGGACTATGGTGATGGCCTTTCGATTGATGTACGCCATTTGACACAATATGGATTTCGGAACCAAATTGTGTACATGTCTGTCCCTTATCACGTGAGTCGGCACACTCCATATTGCAAGAACTAAAAAACTACATGTTGTTCTCTGAAAGTGTATAAAGAATCTTTCAGAATTTTTTTTATGTTTTATGGATAGATGTTGACCTTTGACAAGCTCATGGACTTCGAAACTGTATTGTGTCTATCCCATATCATATGAGACGTAATGCTCCATATTGTATAAATACTATCGACTGTATTTGGATGTCATTGATTACAAGCTAAAAACTATTGTCTTTTGTATTTGGATGTCATTGAATACTAGCTAAAAAATAATTGTCTTTTGTATTTGGATGTCATTGAATACTAGCTAAAAATATTGCCTTTTTATAAATTGTTATGTTTTATGGACTATGGCGATGATCTTTCAATGAATATTAGCCCTTTGAAACACCATGGACTTTGGAACCGAATTGTGTCTGTCCATGCCTTATGAGACTGAATGCTCCATAAGAGTATTGGAACCCTTTTCGACAAAATGTTCTGTTTGTGGACTATGGCGACGGACTTTTCATTGGTGTTGTTTTTTCTCATGAACAGTTATTTCTAAAAGTCCAAAAAACATCTTTGAAAATACAGAGCAAAACCTAAAATACATCTTCTTGTCTATAACTTTGTTTGGTCAAATTAACTAATAGCATTTATAAATAATCTATTTTGGCCTTTTGCACCATTCGTTTTCCAAGTGATGGCCTTGTCTGCTTCAAATTAAATACTTTATTTTTCTGCAGCTGTCATTTTATGTTATTTACCCTAAACAATCTTGAATTATCAAAACAAAACAATAAATGTGTGTTTCAAATATTATTTATTAAACTTATTTAAACAGTACACGGGATGTTCAATTGTGTCATCCGATATTTTAGAAATCATCAATGTATCATTTTGCTCAAGCTTTTAGTATACATCTTCTTGATGCTCTGCAATAATTCCGATGGTTTTTACATCCTGTCATCATCCCTTGTATTTCTACAGCGAATTCCCCCCTGTCTGCAAAGATGAGTCTTGAACCACTGATTGTTACTGGAGATTCCCATTCAGCATTTCCAAGTTTGATCCTCTTGTTCAGACTGAAACATTGGAATTCATTTTTGCACTATACGAGGGTATATCCATAAATATGGTAATTATCAACGTATCAGATGTAAGAAATATACAATACTTTGTTGCCAACAGTAAGTTGAACTATGTAATGTTACAAACATCTCTTTTTTACATGTTAATCTCTCATAGACGGGGCTAGATTTATGACCCTCATAACATCATAATAAGATAATGTACAGACCGAAATCGCGTATCGCGTAGCGATTGAGGTCTTTGGCAATGGCCAGAATGAAATTTGAGGTCATATATTTGACATAAAATGATCATAAAATCGAGGTCTTTGTTACGATTCTAATATGAGGAATAGACAAGAAACACAACTATTTGCAATTAATGAATTTTAGCGGTCATACATACTCCAATATGGACCAGTAAATCAATTGTTCTACTAGCTATTGTGACGTCACGTATAATCTTAGAATAAATAGTATAGTCATTTTTGTTGTAATTATTTATGTTTTTGTTGCTTAACTCACAGCATAGATGCCTTTATGGGCAGTGGTCCAAACTCTCCAACTCTCATGAAGGTACATGAATAAGTGACATTGACATATTCTCCAGGTCGAAGGTTTACTGGGTTCTTCTCTCTTGGACCTTTACAGCTAAGTGAACATTGTATTGCTTCTTCCGCCTCTATGTGTATGTATGATTGAACATTATTAACTTGCATGTACTTTTAAAATTATTTGTTGTAATCCATAAAGCTAGGTTCACACCAATGGCACTTTGATGGCGCTTTAATGCGGCGTGCAGAGCCGCTTTGCACGCCGCATTAAAGCGCCATCAAAAGGTTGGTGTGAACTTTAACACGCGTACTATCAATTCGCGATTCATTCTTCTTAAAAGCAGAGTGGACATTTATTCAATTTACCTTTACATTTGCTGTTCTTGCAGTAAAGATCGTTGAGACATTCTGGGCTTCTGGAACAGTCGGAGCCTTCTTTTTTCTGTAGTTTACAATATCCTTTCATCAGTGTATTAAAGCCACCACCGGTGCAGTACCTCTTCCTGCCATGAAGCCTGCAGTCAGGGTCTGTTCGACATCGCTCAGTACATCCTTTTTGAAGAATAAAAAAGATCAGGAAATTTCAGGTCTGTGCCTCAACACTCAAAAAATGTCTTTTAAAAATTGTTAACGATCCGTAACTTGCAAATATGGATTATGCATTTTTTAAATTGTTAAAAAAATGACATCTAATTTCAATATAAATATGTATGCACAAGTGCCAATGTAAAGGGAAGGGACCAAGAACACAGTAAGAAAAACAAAAAAGATTAAGAGCACATCAGTCATAAATAATGAAAACAAATCCCAACTACCCCAAAACATGATCTAGCGTGTAATCTGTTTATTGTTCACATAAGTATGTTATTTTTTTAATAAAAGAACTATAGACCACTCTAACAATAACATAGTTACTTTTCTCAACTGGATCACTTCCTTCTACTTCTTCACAGGTTGACGACCCTTTGCACTGACGACTTTTGTTACACACCTCCCCCGCTAAGAGCATTCTCTCACACAGACCAGTGTCAGTATTGCAGTAATCTTTCACTTTACATACCCCATTATCCTCACATTTTCTAGCAGCATGGACTATAAATATATAGAGATTTTTTTATTATTTGTATAGATAAGGCCAGGCCAGATAACACTATGGGTTCATCACTTGGTTTTTGATAGAATATATCAGTCCTTGTGGAATCTTGAGATGATACCCTTTGTTTATTTGCGGTATTACGTCAAAGAGTATTTTGGTAGTAGTTTTTAAAATTGAACAATAATATATAAACGATGACCAGAAATATTATATTATGTATTCTGAACGTGTGTGTAAACATTATGATATCTAAAATATCATGTTAAAGAAATATTCCTACCTGATACACCAAAAAGAATCAACACTGCAGCAACAATTTGAAAATTCATCTTCAGTACCGAACAATGAAACGTTCTCCAGAAGTTTATACTTCCTATAGCAGAGACTAGAACCCCAAGCTGTTTTATTTCGATATTGTGTTTATTTCATGATCACGTGGTCGTTTTATTGAAGATATTATTATACTTTACAAGGAAAACTTCATGTTATATCATTATTTACACGAAGTCATGCATTATTTTATGGTTCATGATTTAGTTTTATTATACAGAATATGTGGTCATAATCAGCAATGGTACTATGTTTATTTCTATTATTAATTATGCCTGTAGATGGAACTCGATTGCAACGTTTGATACAAGTCAATTTTCTGTGTCGCTTTTTGTAGAAGTTTTGGTAGTAGATCATAATCGACTTGTGGATTGCAAAAAATCCTTAGATGATCCTAAATTGGAAGATTTGCCAGACGTGCTCGTAGCCAACAACGTTTAGCATACCAAACTAGCCAATTTTGAAAGGACCGTATTTTCTGAAATATACAACTAAACTTTCCTGTTGCTTTCTTTGGACCCTTTTATTTCAAACGTTTTAAGGATATTTTGATTGCTATACAGTAGCATTGACAAGAGATTTGTAAATAATGATTTAGTGAAAAACAAAAGTGGCAATGCCAACTGGGGATATCATGGTTTGTGAATCAAGGCAGAACACATGATTAATTTAAGGAATAAATAATGATAGGCCATTCAATATGGTGAAATTCAGCACGAGTTGGACAGAATGTTGTACAAAGCACGAACCGAAGGTGAGTGCATTTGTACTAACATTCTGTCCAACGAGTGCTGAATTTCACCATATTGAATGGCCTATCATTATTTATTCCGATTCAAGCATAAAAAATTAGTAAAAGCCGTGTCTGTGGAACGGGCATGAAGGAAGAATATGCATGCTATCCCCGGACAGAGCCCCAGATGTGCAGCTGAGATGTGACGTCACTCAAAACAATGCAAATTGCAGATTGAATAGAGCATGGTCTTGCATCTATGGAGAATTAGAGAAATTCGAATAGAGCACGGTCATGTTTGAATCGTATTTCAACAAAATAGAGTCATATCAGACTGCACAAAATGGAGAATATTCCATCATTAAGCACGTTAAATAAAACAACAAACCATATTAAAATATGTTTACGGTATAATTTTTATTAATTTTTTTTGCAATTAACAATTAATTGTGTCGCATATGTTTTGTTAACATCGGGTCTTGTGATGTGAGGTTCATCAGCTTCTATCGGTGTATCTTTTTGTTCAAAATCATTAATGGTTCTATGAACTTTGTTCAAGCTTTCAGTATACATCGCCTCGATGCTCTGCATATTTTACGATGGTTTCTACATCTTTTCATGATCCCGTGTATTTCTGCTGAAAATTCCCCCGTTCTTGTGTCGTTCATTAGTCTTGAACCACTGATTGTCACTGGAGATTCTCCTTGGGCTTGTCCAATCTTGGTCTTCTTGTTAAGACTGTAATATTATACGTTTGTTGCATTATATTTACGATCGCATTTAATTCAATCTAACTTGATCTAGATCTCTCATCATTACAAATTAAAGTTTTCGCATATCTTCAAATACACTCAAGACTTGATGTTTTGTGAACGATTTCACAATGTTTAATGCAAAATGTTTTTGTTTACACCCCATTAACCGTGACATAAAGTTCAAATTTTGAGATTACATCAAACTTCTACAACTTTTAACTTACAGCAAAGATGCTTTGATGGGCAGTGGTCCAAACTCTCCCCTCCTCACAAAGGTACATGAGTAAGTGACATTCACTGTTTCTCCTGGTTTAATATGTTTTGGGTTCTTCTCTCTTGGACCATTACAATCAAGTTCACACGTAACAGCTTCTGCTGCCTCTGTACATACAGATATATATATATTTATAAAATATAGAACTAATGAAATACATTTCCTTCTAAAGTAGTTTTTTATGCACATGTTAACACCCAGTTTGTAAAGAATTATTAAAGTTTCATTGAAATGATTTAAGTCTAAGCACAAAGATACTGAGATGTGTGGGAAAGATCTAAGTGTACTATTACCTAAACACGTGCCATGTTTACAGAAAAGTTTGCCTTCACATTCTGGGCTCCTGTTGCAGTCCTCTCCTTCTTCTTTTGTTGGCACACAGTACCCTTTCTCTAGTGATGCCAGCCCACCAGTAGTACAGTACTTTAATTTGGGTTTTCCTTTACCGGGTTTTCCTTTACCGGATTTTTTACCATACTGCTCGCAGTCAACATCTGTTCTGCATCTCTCAGTACATACTGTTTAAAAAGTGATAGAAACATGCATGTATAGGTTTTGTACACTTGTTATTGATGACAACCCAAAAACTGGTATCAGTTAAAACAAGCTAGATAACCAATCGCCGTCAGTGTATGAGGGAACAAGAACGGGAAATAAAGTGATTTGTAATTGAATATTCTCACCTTTCACTTCTGGTGCACTGTCTGTTGTGTTTTCACAGGTTGAAGCTCCCTTGCAATGGCGGTTCGTTTCACATATATCACCTGGAAAAACCTGCTTCTCACAGAAGTTAGTTTTAGGGCAATAAAATCCAAGCTTACACTCCCCGTCATTGTCACATGGTCTTGCACAAAAGCCAGTGGCATTATTGCAGTTAAATGCACGCTTGCAGTCCTCATCATTGTCACAAGGTTTTGCACACAGGCCAGTGGCATCATTACATTTAGATCCAGGCTTACAGTCATCATCATTGTCACATGATTTGGCAGCATAGACTGATAATAAAACAAAAAGATATTGTTAAATAAAACCATCATCTCTTCTGCAACAGCTTGTCTACTAATAACCTCATATTTTCACGCATAGTTTGTTTGAAGGGAGGAGGCTGACCCAAATGTGTATAAGGCGTTAAAAAGGCATACGAATGTTTCTGTAGAAAATTGGTCCCATACTAACTCATTTTTAAAGAATCGTAAAATTTAATTAATCAGGGGAATTCAAATATATATTATATCTTTTTTCATTAACTTTATAATTATTTTCTTAACTGTGGTGTCAATAAATCGGAACTTGAATGTAATGTACAGTTGGTACTCTTCTATCGAACAATATTAAAAGAGATAAAATGGAAGGCAACAGCCTTTGCCTGTTTATCTTTGCCTGCCTAGTGTTTGACCATTGCCACCCCCGTGATGGCTCAATGATAATCCATTTTCCCGATTGTCTGATCTGATTTCTGCACTTTTCAATGATTATTTAAATCCCCTTGACCAAGGTGTAACATAGAAATTACCTTTAATATCTCAGGAAGCGCTTAAGTTATCTTACCTGTCAAAACAGACAGGATAAAGGCTAAAGCTACTGTCATGAGATTCATCTTCGGTGTAGTATTAGGCCCTCTCAGTTCAACAGCTCAGTCTTTGTGACACCCTTTGGTGAACGGTGATGTCCATGCGACACTCTGGCTTTTATACTCATTTTTATTTTATGTGGATAATAGTTAGAAAGGACATAGTGTTAGTTGTGATCTGACGATACCACAAAATCATGATCTGTGGTTTTTGTACGCATTGACATTCTACTAGAGCACGAGGGACATGATCGTTGGGATAGTGGGTTATTTTCATCGAAGTTTAAAAGATTTTCCATGAATTTTAATATTGATCATATGCATCAAATTATTCGTATATTGGTCTTGGAACAAAATTGTATTGATTCTGATTTGTATTCAATAATTATAAACGATAGTCGTTTTGGATCGCATATCAGAAGAAATGAAATTGCAACACAATTTAATTTATAGTTTTTCCATGCAGTGCTATCAAAATAAAGAATGCCTGATCATAAAATGAATCATGATCATGGATTATGACATTTAGATAATTTAGTGCATCAACATGATCGAATCGAATATGAAGGTCACATTCAAAACACAGCAGGGGCGAAGCCAGCATTTGTCAAGGGGACAATTTTGAGGGTTTGCATCATTACAAGCGAAGCGAGCCCCAAAAAGCTGAAAAGGGGGACGGGGTTCACTCCAGGAAATTCTTAAAAATTTACATTGTATATGCATTGCGCATCTAAATATTTCAAACTATAATTTGTTGATATTTTTTCAACAAATTTACTTGCTTTTTGTGGAGTTAAGGGGACCGCACCCATAGCTCCTCCATGGCTACGCCCATGCAAGGTAAACCCATGATATATTTAACAACATAACATTGTTAATAAAGTAAAGCTATATTACATTGTAGAATATATTCCTGAGTTACCCTGGCATGCTGAATTTCGCATGTTTGATGATATTGTTCAAATGTTTTGCTATGTGTGAAAAGATCTCAAGCTCAACCAGACTAGATGAATTATCGTAGAGATTATTGTACTAGTTACTTGTCTGCTAGACTACCAGCCTCCCAAACAAGAGCCTTGCTCTTTAAATCACATACAACTCACTGAGCTTTAAGTTTGAATTCTTATAATATACTAAACTAGTTTTTTTTAAATCTAGCAATAAGCGAGGTACTGTAAGAAAATAGGTTAGGAAAACCTTCAAGACAATACTATCATTAGAATCATTGTCATAGTTTCAAGTGAAAAAGTGTCTTGCATCAATATTTACATGAACAGTGTACATTGGAACAATTGCGATTAACTAAAGATACTAAATTATAGCATCCATGAAATGTCGAGCCTTTTCATACATTCATACAGTATAGTCAGGAATTGGAATATCTTAAAGTTCGGTTACAAACTTTTATAAAAAATAATAGACAATATGATATTTTGATCTTGAGCCCTTTTGGTATGCTGTAAACAATGTCTAATTAACAAAGTATTAAACATCTATACCTGAAATTAATGGAAACAAGGCTTTAGCATGCAAAATGTCACTACCTGCCATTTCTTAATGACGCTAACCACCGAACACCAACCACCGAACGCTAAACAAAGTCCATAAAAACATGGGAAATTGCGGATTATACAACGAAATCTAAATAAAACAAGAAACCATAATAATATATGTTTAAAATATAATTTTTATTAAACATTTTTGCAAAACAAAGGTAAATTGTGTTGCTTTTGTGACACTGTTGAGGTCTTGTCGTGTGAGGTTCAATTGTGTCTATTGATCAAAACGTTGTTTTGAAATCATAAATCGGTCCCTGCTTTTAAGCTTTTAGTATACATCGCCTTGATGCTCTGCAAATTTTACGATGGTTTCTGCATTTGTTCATGATCCCGTGTATTTCTGCTGAGAATTCCCCCTTTCTGGCTACCATTGCTCTTGAACCACTGATTGTCACTGGTGATTCACCTTGGGCTTGTCCAATCTTGGTCTTCTTGTTAAGACTGAAATATTTTAAGTTTTTTGTATTATATTTACGGTCGCATTTAATTCAATCTTGACTTGATCTAGATCTCTCAATTTACAAATTAAAGTTTCCTTAATATATCTTCAAATCAAGGAGGATTGGCTCCCAGAGTGCAACGTCGATATTCTGTCCCATAAAAGGCCATGTCGTGATACAAAATTCGAATTCAAACAGCCACCATTTTGTTCACTTCAACATTTGATTCGTGAATTTTGGTCTTGTTTCCTAACGAAAAAATCCCAAATTCAGAAGAAATGACCGAGATATTAGTTCGAATCTTTTGGACTGTTTATTTTGAATTCATAGTCAGTTATAATTTCAGAAAATAACGACGTTTCATTGTTGGGCGAGTTTCGATCCTGGGAGCCAATCCTCCTTGTCTTCAAATATTTAAACTCAAGACTCGATGATTTGTGATTGATTTTAACAACGTTTAATGTAGAATCTTTTTGTTTGCAGCACATTAACCGAGACATGAAGTTCAAGTTATAAAGACTAACATGATACAAAATACCATTGCAAACTAGATCAAACGTTTACCATAACTTTTACCATGACTCACCGTAACTTAGCTTTGATGGGCAGTGGTCCAAACTCTCCCCTTCTAACAAAGGTACATGAGTAAGTGACATTCACTGTATCTCCTGGTTGTAAGTTGTTTGGGTTCTTTCTTGGACTATTACAGTCAAGTTCACATGTTACAGCTTCTGCTGCCTCTGTATATGAACATATATATTATTAGCATGCACAGTATACATATGTATATGTACAGGGTGGTCCAAAAAAATGGGACACTCGTATTTCAAAAATATATATTGATGTTCTTGATGAAAACATGTCAGTCATATTATATACCAGTGGATAGGGAATTTACTTATCTTTAATTTGGTATACCACAAGTTCAAATTTATTATAATGTCTGTCAACCAGCGCGCGTTATATAAATGAGGTCATTTTAGTTTCAAAACGGATTTTCCAAAACTTGCAAAAAACAACTTTATTTACACAAACAGATGTTCAATATGTCCACCATTTGATCAATTATATCCCTCGATTTTGGCCTAAACTGGTCAAAAACACCATTGATATTCTGTTGAGACAATGAATTCCACTTCTCAGCAAGTCTATCCTTAATAAGGGACTGGGTAGATGTAAGGTGTTCATGATAAACCAATTCTGTTCTCCCAATACGTGGTAGTCGTAGACGTTGACATTGCAATATCCAATTATGTTGTTTTTAGACCATTCTTATATGAGCTCATTTTCGAATCATTACATTTTCCAACAAGATGGGGCTCCAAGCAATAGAATTCTCAAGAGTGTCAAATGTTTAAAGGAAAATGTGCCTAGATTCATCCCCTAATCACTGCCTCCCCCAGATCACATTATCACCCAACGTCTGCCACTACCATGTATGGGGCGAACTAACAGAATCGGTGTACCATGAATCCTTTACATCTATCCAGTATCTTGAGGGCAGAATTGAATTAATGAGAGGTCAAAGTCATTGCCTTAACAGTATATCAATGATGCTATTGGCCAGTCAAGGCCAAAATTGAGGGGTACAATTGATCAAAATGGTGGACATATTGAACATCTGTTTATGTTAATAAAGTTGACAATAAAACTTGTTTTTTTTTTAAGTTTTGGAAAACCTGTTTTGAAAAAAAAATGACGTCATTTATATTATGGATGCTGGTTGACAGACATTATAATAAATTAGAATTTATGATATATCAAATTAAAGATAAGTAAATTCCCTATCCACTGGTATACAATATGACATGTTTTCATCAAGAAAATCAATATATATTTTTGAAATACGAGTGTCCCATTTTTTTGGACCACTCTGTATATATTAACACCAAGTTATTCAAACCAGGTAGGCATTGTTTTCAGACCTTGACAGTGTAAGTCTAAACACAAAAATACTGCAACAATTAGTAAAGGAGGGCCATTCAGCGATCATCGACCAGTGTCAAAATATATTTAGGTTTAGATTTTTCATCAAGACTAACATATATTTTCATTATCTACAAACAAACCCCCTAGATGAACATTATTCCAGCTGATATTCCTCTTGAAACGTGGTGGATCTTAAAAATCTAAAAGTGGGACTCTCCTTTATAGAAGCTTTGAACCGAATTTACACTTCTTAATGCTGAAATTGATAGTTTATACATACATTTTAAGAAAATGGGTATGTCAAAGAAGGTGTTAAGCCAAATATTGGTCTGATAGCTCAGAAAAAATATAAAAAATTCGAATTTTCTGTCTAGTCCTTGTTGCCTCTTTAATATAATATGAATGTGTTATTACCTACACATACACCATGTTTGCAGAAAAGTTTGCCTTCACATTCTGGACTCCTGTTGCAGTCATCTCCCTCTTCCTTTGTTGTTAAACAGTAACCCTTTTCAAGTGTTGCCAGGCCACCGGTAGAACAGTACTTTAATTTGGGCTTTCTCTTACCATACTGCTCGCAGTCAACATCTGTTCTGCATCTCTCAGTACAAACTGTTTGAAATAGATAGTGTTGAATCGTACATGTATAGTTCTAACTACATGCACTTATTATTGATGATAATCAAAAATATTGATAGCAGTTAAAACACACCAGGTTAACACAAGGGCATTAAAATACCCGGGGATTTATCGTTTCGTGCACTACGTACGTCTGGGATAAACGCAATTCCTCAGGTATAAATAAGTAACTTCCCGGGTATTGATTTTTCCCTTGGTTACCAATCACCACTGTCTTACATGTATGTGACGGAACAAGAACAGGAAATAGCAGTAGAGTGAATATTCTCACCTTTCACTTCTGGTGCACTGTCTGTTGTGTTTTCACAAGTTGAAGCTCCCTTGCAATGGCGGTTCGTTTCACATATGTCCCCTGGAAAAACCTGCTTCTCACAGAAGCTAGTTTTAGGATTGCAGTAGAATCCAAGCTTACACTCCCCATCATTTTCACATGGTCTAGGTCTTCCAGCATGGACTGGAAATAAAAAGGTATATTACCTTTTTAAATGCTATTATCTTAGATAAGTCTCTACCATACGATAGACTACCAGAAACATAACATTTCCACGTATAGTTTGTTTGTTGGAGGGAGCGATCCTAAATGTGTGTGTTTGTAGCGAACTGACATTACAGTGTGCTGATGTGATCATAAATCAAAATGTTGCGACATTGGCTGATATTAGTATTTGCAAAACCTGACACTGACACCCAAAATATTCAGAAACCATCGTCGTCGGAAGAAATAGATTGGAAAATGTCCGTCCAAGGCACTTATGAAGTCGATATGGCATGCTATTAATTTTGATTAAAAATGTCGTAATTCGAATTCTGATCTTCAGTTTTCTTATTTACGTTTGTTTCTGATCTTTCTTTCAATTTACATTTAAAGCCCCTTGTATAAAAGTGCCCATTAAAACGTTCTTAAAAGCAGCTTAAATAAATTCTTACCTGTCAAAACAGACAGCATCAATGCTAGGGCAACTGTCATGAGATTCATCTTCAATGTAGTATCAGGTCCTCTCAGTTCAACAGCTTTGTGGCACCTTTTGGTGAATGGTGATGGCCCATAGGACACTCTGGCTTTTATACTCATTTTCACTTCATGTGGTTTAATGGTCAAAACATGCAAAAAGGACAATGTGAGAGTTGTGATCCGATGATACCACATAATCATGAAGTGTGGTTTTGTGTACGAAGTGACATTCTACAAGAGTAGTATGGACATGATCGTGATGTGGTCATCGAGGTTTGAAGGATTTTTCATTAATTCTGTTGTTGATCATTGTTTCTGAACTATTTTCTGATATTCTTATTGAAAAATTATATAAAATATAGTCTTTGTAACGCATATATAGAGGTTATTTACTGGGAATATGGGTTAATGACATTTTGAAATATGAAGATTTTATTGTATAACATAAACATATAAACATCAAAATGACAATACGTATACATGTCCATCACATGCTCAGGTGTTTATGACGTTGACTTTCCGTGTCAGAGCATGATGATGAAATTACAATTCGCTTTAATCAGTTAATCGGCTTACAATCTTCATACTTCTTACGTTTCAAAAAGTCTATTTCAATTTTGTTTTGAAAAAATCGTTTCTCACATAAAACATCATCATAGAACGCTATATCGACTCAACTGGACGTAATAGGAAAAACTCCCGGGAGGTGAATATCATTTTCTTGGGCGGGATTGTGAAGTGAATACGGTTTCTGTGAGAGGGATTGGGCGGGACTTTTTAATTTCAAAAATATTCCCAAGTATCATTCACCGGGAAGTAGTAGTAGTATGATCATGATGAAATAGCATTGCGGCATATAATTTATTTTATAGTTTTTCCACGCATTTCTATTAAAATAAAGAACGTGTGATCATAAATGATTAAAATGAATCATGATCTTTGAAAATGACATTTCGATAATTAAGTGCATTTACATGCATGATTGATTGAATCGAACAAGGTCACATGAGAAACACAAGACAGTAAAGCCATGATTAACACCATACACTAAAACATTGTTGATAAAGAAAATATGACTCGAGCCTGTAACATTTTATAATACATGTATATTCCTGGGGTTACCCTGGATTGTCGAATTTCAAGTTTTTGATGATAATGTTCAAACGAGACCCCTCCATGATTTATTGTGGAGATTATTCAGATATTGCACTTGTTCCTTGTATGCTAGCCCCGATGCTAGCCGAATATTTCGGCTTATCGACTCGATTAAAGGTCTGGTTAACGATAATACAATACTATCATTAGAAATCGTTTTCAGTTTCAATTGAAAAAAGTGTCTGAATAACATCATTTCTATTAATGTTTGCGAGGCAATTTCCCCGCCTACCTGATACTTTGCTACACTTATGATTTTGCTCTGGAACATAAACCAATGAACAATGGTGATCAACTCAGGATACTGTAATAAACTACACTATTCATGACTTGCAAAATGCTAAACTTTATCTCACATTCGTACAGTATACTCAAGAATGGGAATATGTTGAAGATAATCATAACTTATTAAAACGACTGGTCGCGTGTACCATTTTTCATGATATTCATAGGTATTGGTAGATTTCTTACATAACTTTAAGATTATTAACCCTCCCCTTTTCCAAAGGGCATAATCTTACTACATCCTAAATGACTGATTAACAAGAATTAGATTGCGATAAGTATTATATATAGAAGTATGTATCGTTTGCTAATTTACATAAAAATAAATCTAGTGTCTACTTGGAGACATTTTATACACCCCATGCACGCCCATATGCACCCCATATACGCCCATCTTACAGTCTTATACACATATAATGGCAACACTTTAAATTCTCTCATGTCATATTCAATTGATGACTAAAAGTAAATATTTAATTGTCCACTTCTTAGTAAAGCTGGTACACTGTACAGTTGAATTAAATATTTATAAATACAATTAATATCACATTCTATTTTTCATATGCATGGCCAGAGTTCAATATTATATGCACTGGATGACACGTCAATGAATGATATTACGCACTAGCTGACGCGTCAGCTGTGTATGGTATAACATCACAAACAACGAAACCTTCACTCTGCAGGGCTTGTCTCAGCTGGTCCTGAAATAAGAATAAAATGATACATGTACAGACAATATAATACAATATTTTTATATTGAGCATATTTGGTATATGTGAAATAAACATCTTTTAAACTTTCTGTTGTAAATAATGTGTCAACAATGTATTAAACATCTATAGCTGAAATGAAGGGAAACAAAGCATTGACATGCAAATTCTCACCACCTGCCATTTGTTACAGTTAGAGAAAAAAATATGAAATATGTAGTTATTGAAATAATACACAAACATATCAATTATTGAAATACTTGACATTATCACAAAAAACGATGCATGGCAGTAGTTGAATGATGTGTTACCATCTTTGATTGGTCAAGGCAAAGTCCAACTGTTGCACCACCACTGCCGGGAAACTTTACAGCGGAACCGTGTTCCCTCGCAATCTGGATCATCCTTAGGTTGCCAGCACCCAGAGAGGCATCGCCATATATCTTCCTGTTGGACGTAGAAAAAACATGTTCTTAAGTAAAATAAACAATAGGCTTAATAACTTCACGACCCTGGACTATCTTACTCTTACAACTTGTGTCACATGTGCTTGTAACTACTGTAGACTAAAGAAACAAACAACTTGTGTCACATGAGCTTGTAACTATTGTAGACTAAAGAAACAAACAACTTGTGTCACATGAGCTTGTAACTACTGTAGACTAAAGAAACAAACAACTTGTCTCACATGAGTTTGTAACTACTGTAGACTAAAGAAACAAATATCCATGCTCTTTATAATAGCTGAGACTAACATGCCTATAATATGTTAATCTCAGTAATCAGTATGAATTCATATTTCAAATGATTTTTTTATAATAAATACTCTTTATTTCTTAAAATCATAGATACATTTTCATTGTTATTCACGGCGTAATCGCCCTGAAAGGGCATTTCTACTGCCGCTTTAAGTGAATTTAAAATACAATATAATATAACATTTAGTCAAAGTCATTATTAGAGTAAGAAAAATATATAATTTAGATACTATCTGTTTTTCTACCTGTCTGTACCCCCGTTGGTGCCCTGAATTTGAATTACTGTTATCGATTATTTAATGAAATTCAAAACTGCCTTAAAGATTTTGGAATTGTTTTCATTTGTCAGATCTTTGTCGCCAAAAAGTAGGAAAATTTGTCTTTTAATGTTTTGTATTTAGTAACATCTAAGTTTAGTTCATGTTTAACCATCGCTAGCGCATTTGTTTCTCTCAGAGGGCAGGACAAGTGTTTATGCTGTGCTGTCTCTCGAGCTCCACAGTCACAATATGGATCGTTAATGAAAGAGAAATTATGGTCAAAAAGATCGGATTTGAAATATCGATTTACTCTTATCTTATTTAGTACAATTTCTTCTTTTCTATCAAGATTCTGTATGTAGGAGGTTGAAATTGTAGGTTCGGTGTTTTTGGTGAGGTGATCGTTTAGTTGTTTTTTAAAAAGTGAGAAGCTGTTCGTTTCCTTGTGGTCTCTAGGAAGACGGTTCCACAAGGTTATCATTGAGCAAACTGTTCCCGTTTCCATTTTTTTACTAATTGAGGCTGGTAATTTGTAGTCGTTGGTTGTTCTAAGAACTCGATTTATATCGTTCGAAAATCCGTTTAACGTAAGATGGTGCCGAATTGTTATGAATCTTGAACATAACGCGCAATTTATGTTCATCCCGTCTATTTTGAAGATTATCCCAATTTAATATTTCAAGGGTTTTTTCTGTGCTTGCTCCTTGCATAACACCAGAACAAATAACAGCTGCCCTATAATGTAGCTTGTCTAACTGGGCTAGGCTGGTAGCTGGAGCAGCGTCATAAATGATATCACAATAGTCCAGATGTGACAGGATAAAGGAAGAGTAAAATTTTTCCAGGTGTTTGGAATTTAATCTATGCTTAAGTGCCATAAGTGGATTTAATAATTTTTGAACTTTACCTTCTAGATATTCAATATGGGTTTTGAAAGTTAACTTTTCATCAAGAATTAGACCGAGGTGCTTATGATGTTTAATTTGATCTATTGGAGTGTCGTTGAAAACAAACTTAGGATATGTTCTCTCAATTGATCTATTTGTTTTAAAGATCAATTCGTGACTTTTTTGTGGTGCGAAAGTTAGTCCCCATTTCTGGGACCACATTTGGATATGAATTAAGTCTTCTTGAAGAACTTGGCTATCTGTTTGGTGATTTATTGGGTCAACCGGACAAAAAAGTGACGTGTCATCCGCATAGATAAAAATTTAGATTTTAAGTCGTCTGTTACGTCATTTAGATATAACAAAAGAAAATCGGTCCCCATATTGAGCCTTGGGGGACTCCAGAGTTGATTTGACCGACTTTACTTGACCTAGAAAATTCATCATTGATCTTAATTTTAATTGTTCTGTTTGTGAGGTAAGATTGAAAAACGTCAATTAGTGATTTTGGGATACCGTAGGATTTGATTTTCTGAAGAAGGAGTACATGAGGGACTTTGTCGAAGGCTGATTGAATGTCCAAAAATATTGCTCGAACATCGAGACCATTTTCAAAATTTTGAAGAATGTAGTTTGTTATAGCAGTTAGTTGGAGTTGAGTGTTGTGTTCTTTAAGAAATCCAGATTGCATTTCATAAATTAGGTTATTTGATGTCAAGTGGGTCATCAGTTTACAATTTACTATTTTTTCAAAAAGTTTAGACATTGTACAAAGTAAAGTTACAGGCCGATAATTTTTTATTAGAGATTTGTCATCTTTTTTTATGGATAGGACAAACAACTCCTTCTTTCCATTTTGAAGGAAAAGTCTTGGAAATGAGAACCGAATTAAAAAGTTTAGATAATGGAATGGCGAGGGAGTCACTTGCTAATTTTAACATTTCATTTGTGATTTGATCATGTCCGGCTGATTTTCCACGTTTTAATTCCATAATACTTTCCACAATCATTTGTGGAGAAATTTCAAATTCTTGCATATATAATTGGGTTCTGCTTGGAAAGGGCCTTTCCATCACAGTTATTTCATTGGAATATTTGGAAACAAAATGTTCGAGAAACAGGTTAGCCTTACCTAGGTTGCTGTGTACTGGGGTATTTTTTTCGAGGTCAAACATTGCGGGGAAGGAATTGCAAAAACGTTTACCAAGGAGTTGTTTAATAAGCAACCAGTAAGATTTGGATGTAATTTCGGAACTGAGAACGCTTTCCGTAACATTATTATCGTAGTCAAGTTTTTTCTGTTTCACTAAATCGTTTACAACTAGCATTTGGGTTTTGTAAAGTTGATAATCAATTTCGTTTTTTGAAATTTTAAATTGTGCATATAGTCTTTTTCGAACATTAATTTCATGTTTAATTGTGTCATCAAACCAAGGTCTATCCGATTCTCTTTTCCTCCTGGTTTTAAAAAATGCTTTTTGATCTATGTTAGCATTTCCTTCCGAAATATTTTGAAGGTGGGAGTTACAAATAGCTTCATTCAAAACAGTGCGATTTACTTTGTCATAATACCACTTAGTTCGCTTATGCCTGGGTCACATAGGCTCCGATCCATCGGCCGGCGCCCGGCCGATTGAGTGTTTTGTTCAATATTGTATTCAATTTTGTACAAAATACTCAATCGGCCGGGCGCCGTCGTGAAAATCAGAGCAAATGTGACCAAGGCATTAGTTGACTGTTCCCTGGTTAGACCAGTAGTTAATCTCGTTAGAACACAACAATGATCTGAGTTACCGATAGGTGTGAGTACTTTAGTCACTTCGACCAGTCCCGGGGAATCACATATTGAAAGATCAATGCATGACATTGAAGTCGGTCTTATTCTGGTAGGCTCGGTAACAAGCTGAGTAAGTCCAAAATTAGTTATGAGGTTATAAAGTTGAGTACCCGCTGTATTATTAGCTGAATTGTGCTCGTTCCAGCTAAAGTGTTTGCTATTGTAATCGCCGTTTAAAAGAACAGCTGTAGGTTGTTTTCTTTGTACCGTTTCGATGTCCCTCGATAAAGAGGTGAAAAATTGGTTATTTTCATCAACACTCATATTAGGCGATTTCTGATTTATATGTCAGCGCGTAGAAAATAGTTTGATGATTCACACATAGTTCAAACCATATCGTTGCACAGTTGTGTTTTTAGTGCCAAGATCCGGGCATTTTTTAAAGAAAATATTGTTTTTTATGTAGACCATCAATCCCCTCCCCTCACTAATGTATATTGGCGGGTGATAGTCAGAAATATCGTAATCCTTTTTGATAGTTTCATTTGCAATTTGTCCAACCTCACATATACCAGCTACATGGACTTCGTTTAAGCGCATCTCATCTATTAAACATTCGAATCTTGTTGATTCGTCTGCCGTAATACTATTTATGTTTGACAGTAGAAATGTGATATTTTCGTGTCCAACCGGACCTGGGTTCGGTTGGATATCTCCGTGCATTAACATGAGATATTTCAAATTTGGTGCATATATCCACATCCCAAAACCGGGGCAAGCTAGTGTGAAAAATATGAAGCATAATAAGGCCCATGGAAATGTGATACAAAAACGCGGGTTAAAATGTTTGATATGTTTCAACAGGAACCTTGTGAAACATAAGAGTGGCAAGACGATCATCGAGAAATTGAATATAACAACCGCAAGAAGTAAAATTATAATACTCGTAAGCCCCTTATAAAACGTAGCAGCAAAAACAGCAATAACAATTAGAAAAACGAAGTAAATGTGAGCTGTAAAGTAACATGGTGACCGATTTCTCACTACACGGTTCTTGTTCTTAGAAAGCCGAAAATTATTAAATAGCCCCACCCTCATACGATAGGTTGCTACATCAATGCCCTTTAACCGATACCTGTCGCAGCGGTGGCATAAACATTAGAATACAACGCGTTAAGATCTGAAAAAAGTACTGAAAGACAGACATTTGCATCATTTGGGAGACAGATTGGCAATTTTAACAGAAAAATACTTAAAACTAGAAAAATAATAAAAAACCAGGCTAATTCTGGTTTAGTGTGTATCGTACTCATCAAATGCGATAGACGATTTCGCTGCTTATTGCAACGGTTTTTTAAAAAATAAAAACTGGATACATTAGGTCTGTAAAAACACATATACAAGGCCAATTTACCTGATCAAAATAAAACATGAAAAAGTTAACCGTGATAATTAGCAAGAGTAAAGAAACTAGATCAGAATATTATTTAACACAAGGCCTCTAGTAATGGTGTAACATATCGCCATCCCAAAGATATTTTCAAACAGTCCCTCTGTATTTATGTAGGGATAGAGAGGCCTTGCTAAAGCTAGGTTCTGAAATGTAAACCAAATCCAAAGATGTAAAAATAGTAAGTCTTTTTTACATGATTTAAAACAACAATAAAGAAGTACAAGAGAGAAAAATTATGATCAACTTACGAGACTTCTGACAATGGTACATTGAGAAATGTGCATTTTGAAGCCACATTAGTGAATTATCCAACAATCTAATTTAGCCAACATCACACGGTATTTACAAACATGATGTTCTACATACATGTACATATATAACTACATTCAATACATTTCAATTATTTCAGTTGAAATCACACTCACATAATGTTTACGCTTGACAAGAGATTTTTACTTGAGATAAGTAAGCACTTTGAAGCTAATCCTGATTTGCTGAAAGTATATTATGAAAAAGACATTCAAGTATTAGTAACAGTCCAAAGGTAAAGCAATGGGTTTTTTCAACCCGCTAACTTTTTAAGACAGTCCTTTATTGTCCCCTTAATGTTCGCATGGCTAGTTTTGCCGAAGTTAGGCTGACCAAGAGTCCTTGGGACAATGACAAAAATGTCGGTCATTTTGCTATTCTCAAGAATATCGGACATAACTTTACCAGTTCCAAATTCGCCGTTGTCGGAATATCCAAAGCCTTCAGGAACACGATAGGCATAGGGCGCAGACGTTAATTTGATAACATCATCAAATTTATGGCACTTCGAAAAAGCTGCTTGGGCCTCTTTTATCCCCGGGACTTTAACAGCAATTGCGGTAAACCCACTGTTGTTTCCCTCCACGGATTCGCCTATTACATAGCTATCAAGTTTGGGTGCAATGTCAATGGTTTTAGAAGACAATGGGAGGGGGTTCTTTGTGAAAAGTGGATCAACGGGTCTTTTATCAAGCATTAGCTTGTCTTTGTTAAAGTAGGCGTTTTTCCCAGCGGCCTTAAGATCTTTGAATTTGGGCATTTGCGCTTGTTTACGCTGAGACATAGACTTTGGGAGTTGATCAGTAATGTATATGCCTGTGCCCTTGAGGTTCTTGGCAAATTTAAGACAGACATCTCGCCCGGATCTCATGGTAAATTTCACAACCATCGGTTTAGTTTGAGCACCCATTCTGGGGAAACGATGACTAACATCGATCTTTTCAGGGGCATGCGGGTTTTCGCGAGAGAATATTTGAATATTTGGTCGTTGGGTACACGTAGCTTATTTCGTATGAAATCGTAGACCAAAGTGTCACAGTCCTCTGTACCCTGCCCCTGCTCTGGGAGATTGTTTATGATTAGATTGTCTCTCCAGGGCCGTCAGATGGGGGGGGGTGCGATGGGTGCGACCGCACCCCCCTTTGTCACCCCCCAAAATAAATTTGAAAAAAAATTTAGAAAAAATTTTTTTTTTGAAAAATATTTTTTTTGTAATTTTTTTTCATTGACTCATACACTTTGAAAGCACCCAGAAAGCACCAAATAACATCTTAAAATTGTAAAATTTTCTAGGGGTATTGGCCACCCATCACACCCCCCACAAAACAATGGAAAAGTTCTAAATTTATTTTAGTGTTTTGTCTCAGACACTTTTAAAGTGCCCAGACATCATCAAATAGCTCCTCAATATAGTTAGTGTTTCTGGGGGACTTGCTCCCCCTCTTGCATCTTGCACTTGCATAACCCCCTCCCCCCTCTCTGGCGCCCCCCCCCCTTGACCCTCCCCCCCCCTCCAAAAAAAATTGTGATTTTCTCAAATTCTTTAATTGACTCATACACTTTGAAAGTGCCCAGAAAGCACCAAATAGCGTCGTAAAATTGTAAAATTTTCTAGGGGGAGTGGGCCACCCCTCACGTCCCAAACAAAACAATGGAAAAGTTCTGAATTTGTTTTATGTATTGTCTCAGACACTTTTAAATTGCCCAGACATCATCAAATAGCTCCTTGATAAAGTTAATGATTCTGGAAGACTAACACTTACTCGCCCTCTGGCATCCCCACTCCACCTCCCCCTCTGGCAGCCCCCCCCCCCCCTTAACACCCCCCCCCCCCAAAAAATGAGATTTTTCAAATCTTTTATTGACTCATACCCTTTGAAAGTGCCCAGAAAGCACCAAATAGCATCTTAAAATTGTAAAATTTTCTTCTTTTAGGCACAGACATTTTTAAAGTGCCCAAACTTCATCGAATAGCACCTTGATATTGTAAATTTTGATATGGGGGACAAACACTTGCTCCCCCTCTGGCACCCCAGCTCCCCCTCTGGCACCCCTCCCCCCCCCCCCCCCCCCTTTGACACCCCCAAAATTTGAAAAAAATTGTGATTGTTTTTCAATGTTTTTATTGACTAATACACTTTAAAAGTGCCCAGAAGCACCAAATATCATCTTTAAATTGTAAAATTTTCTCGTAGAGTTAGACACCCCTCACATCCCCCACAAAACAAAAGAAAATATTCTGAATTTCATGTATTGTCTCAGACATTTTTTAAGTGCCCAGGCATCATCAAATAGCACCTTGATATGGTCAATGTTTCTGGGGGACAACCCCTTGCTCCCCTACTGGCACCCCACCCCACTTCACCCTCTCATCCTCTTTGACACTCCCGAAAGAATTTGAAAAAAAAATTCACATTTTTCTTATTGACTCATAACGCACAGGCGTACCAGATGGTTGCAAATTCGCTCAAAATACAATCAAATTTCAAAATTTTCCTGGGGGAGAACCCCCAGACCCCCCTGGATACTCGGTTTTTATTCACTCAACTCTTATTCCCGTGGTGGTGGCGTACTACTTAGAAACTTACACTTTGAAAGTGCCCAGAAAGCACCAAATAGCATCTCAAAACTGTAAAATTTTCTAGGGGGAGTGGACCACTCCTCACACCCCCCACAAAACAATTGGAACGTTTGGAAGTTGCATTTGTTAATTCCAAACCAATATAGGGAGTAACTGACCCCCCCCCCTCACTGTCTTCCGCGATTTGATTTGCGCGGCAAAAAATTGACAAATTTATATTCTCTTTAGTAAGCTAAAAACCGCACCCCCCTTGGAGAAAAGTGTCTTACGGGCCTGCTCTCATAGACCTAAATGTGATTTCCTCTACAGCATTTGCGAGATCTTTGATTTGGTCAGATTGAGAAGCGATCCTACCCTCGAGTATGTCGACGCGATCACTTAGATACTCATTTTGAGTTTTCAGATCGGATACATCTGCCGCCAGCTCCAGAGTACCTTTGATAGACGATTTAACATCTTTCATATCGTTCATAAGGACACTGACGGACACAGCGTTGTTGTTTAGGCTAGCTTGGATGGAATCAAGTCGATCGAAAAGTTGAGCAATGTCTTATTTATGCTGTTTAGGGGTTTGAGAGTCAGCTGAAGGACTAGTTAAAACATTATCAAAAGTTCTTTTCCCAGATTCTGGAAGATCGAGAACACCTTTCATTGTCTGATTTTTGGCGGGAAATGTCTATGACGATAAACTCACCATAAGACGATCCGGGTTCACAGATTTTGCAATCCAAGTTGTTCAGCTTATATTCGTATATACAAAGATCGTCCAAATTGGTCTATTGTCGCAGTATATCCATAGAAATGCTCAATTAACTGTGTTCTTTCATTGGTGTCCTGCATACAGAACACAGGCATTGGAACAGATAGAACCACCCCCCCCCACACACACACACACGCATTAGTACATAGAGTGTGGGGTAATTATATCTGTTCCGATGTCTGATGATACAGAGGATGAAATAATTGGGTCACTGACATTTGTTGTCAAAATGATCTCAGATTTGGTGTCAAAATGGATTGTTATATGAACCCAATATCCAAAACCTCCTGTATAAGTAATTAGTAATTACAAATACCTTCTTAATTCAAAGTTGTCATTCATGAGGCTGGCGAGCTGTTCCCAGTCCTTGTTTTCTATTGCACTCCTGAAATTGCAGAACATACAATAAACACTGACATATTACGATTCAATACAAAAAGTAATCTCAGACATTTTGAGTGCAAAGTTATTTCAGATATCAAAAACCTTAGCATATAATTCAAAAATAGTGAAGTAAAATGTAATATTTTTTCAGTGTTAAGTATCATACCTTGCTGCGTCTGTATACTGAGCAAATGTTTTCATAGCGTCGACAACTTCTTGGTCACCTGGAAATACAAATTTTAGCAAGATTTTTATTCTACTTGTCTACTACTTAAACTTTGGCTTGCAGAATTTATGTAAAATGTAACCCTTTAAAATGTAATCTGAATTTGTTCAGTCTGACTATCGCAATTGCAGACATTTTTGTAAAAAGTAATTTTATAATTTTTAACAGTTTATCAAGTAGAGTACAGTAGCCATTTGAGAAATTATGGCTGGCTGGGATTTGCTGTACTTTATACTTAATTGTATACAGTGGAATCTATTACTTGTCTAAAACAAAACATTTACACTTATTATTCAGATGGACTGATGGACTGGCAAACTCTTCACTCTATCTCCAACAAACGTTGAGATTTATTTTCATTACCAAATTCCAGACTCGATACTCATGAAAATTTCTACAATAATGAGGATATTATAGTCTGTTTTACCCCTTTAACCTACCATTTCTCCATCTGATGCTGACGTCACTATGTATTTTGCCTGAGTCACTGGGATCTCCTACATAAGCCAACCAGAACTTTGGAGTGGAATCTGATGGCAGGTACTCATAATTCCCTTTTTAAAAAAGAGAAAATAGTACGACAATATTATATTGTATCTCAGTTATCTGTAATAGTTCAATTCATTGATTGTAGTTAGGGGAACCTGGGATAGGATGGCCAAAAGTTGTTCCATTAATTATTTAGTTCTTGCGGCTCAGTTAAATAGTTCTCAATATTTAGTTATATTATGGATACAAAGTACATTTTGCTCCACCATTTACATTACATATTCTATAGGTACATGTAAGGAAAAATATGATTTGCATTTACATGGTCATGCAGATTCTTAAAACGATAACAGTTTTTGAACTCACCACATCCCCTAGAATCCATTAACTCTTTACTGAAGTCCATGTAGACCAAACCTTCATATACCTACATAGGAAAGTATAAAATATATTTGCAATAACTCAATCAAGATAATGCTGTTAATCTATAGAATTCAGTTAATCAATCCAGAACATTTCTTATTATCTCACTCTTATGTTTCTCATTCTGTGATTGATTGAACACATGTCACATGATATAAAATACCTTTTGATATTGTTCCAGTGATACTAACTGTGCATTGGGAGATAAGTGAGTCTCGTTTTGAAGACCCAATATTTCCTTAGAAAATTACTGCATGCATTCTTTTTGAAGTCCTTTTCAGTAAATAAATGACTATTCAATTAATGAATCTTATTTTAATTCATTCACCTATATAACATCTTCATAAATTCTTCATAAATACTCCTATGTAAATACAACTACACACCTGAATGACTCTGTCTTGTAGACCTGCCTGAATGAAGAGTTCCTCTTTCTCAACATCTAGAATAAACTGAGGCTGAATTTGCTTGGGCATATCCTGTAAGCATGTAGACATATCTTGTAAATATGGAAACATATTCGGTAAACATGTATATACATCTTTAAACATGTAACTATATCCTGTAATCAGGTAAACATATCTAAAGTGTAGACATACATGTATGTATGTATATTTTGTATAAACACTGATGTACATCCTGTAAACATGCAGACTATCCTAAACATGTAGATATATTTCATAAATATGCAGAAATATTATGCAAGCATGCATAATTGATATTTGGTACTTACTGATGAGTTTAAGTTGAAGAACTGTAAAAGACACTTCAGTGTTGCTGCCACTATTGCACTGCTACCAGCCAGGCCCTATTGAGAGACATGGTAACATATGATGACAAATTGCAGTTGAAAAAAGATTTCATATCATATAAATCAGGATACACCAGAAAGATGCCAGGGTTGTTGAGGACCTCTACCACTACAATTGGAATATAGAAAAATGAAGACTTGATGGGTTGATAGAAAATTCTAATTCTTAATTCAGGACGTTTGTTGAAATTTTGATACTTTCTAAATTTCATCTAGGATATCATGGCAGTGTTGTTTTATTGAATTATTGATTGTAATATTATAACCATTAAGTGATGTGATAGTCAACTGTGATGTAATAGCAGCTAAAATGTAATGGTCAATTTAAAGAGCGGGGCTAAAGTTTCTTATCACTTGTCTTGGAATGTTTGTATCATACTTTTATGTAAAGTTTCTTACCATTTGTCTTGGAATGTTTGTATCATACTTTAATGTGAAGTTTCTTACCATTTGTCTTGGAATGTTTGTTTCATACTTTAATGTGAAGTTTCTTACAACTTGTCTTGGAATGTTTGTATTATACTTTAATGTGAAGTTTCTTACCACTTGTCTTGGAATGTTTATATCATACTTTAATGAGAAGTTTCTTACCACTTGTCTTGGAATCGTTGTATCATACTTTAATGTGAAGTTTCTTACCACTTGTCTTGGAATGTTTGTATCATACTTTAATGTGAAGTTTCTTACCACTTGTCTTGGAATGTTTGTTTCATACTTTAATGTGAAGTTTCTTACCACTTGTCTTGGAATGTTTGTTTCACACTTTAATGTGAAGTTTCTTACCACTTGTCTTGGAATGTTTGTTTCATACTTTAATGTGAAGATTCTTACCACTTGTCTTGGAATGTTTGTATCATACTTTAATGTGAAGTTTCTTACCACTTGTTTTGGAATGTTTGTATCATACTTTAATGTGAAGTTTCTTACCACTTGTCTTGGAATGTTTGTATCATACTTTAATGGGAAGTTGCTTACCACTTGTCTTGGAATGTTTGTATCATACTTTAATGGGAAGTTGCTTACCACTTGTCTTGGAATGTTTGTATCATACTTTAATGGGAAGTTGCTTACCACTTGTCTTGGAATGTTTGTATCATACTTTAATGTGAAGTTTCTTAACACTTGTCTTGGAATGTTTGTATCATACTTTAATGTGAAGTTTCTTACCACTTGTCTTGGAATGTTTGTATCATACTTTAATGGGAAGTTGCTTACCACTTGTCTTGGAATGTTTGTATCATACTTTAATGGGAAGTTGCTTACCACTTGTCTTGGAATGTTTGTATCATACTTTAATGTGAAGTTTCTTACCACTTGTCTTGGAATGTTTGTATCATACTTTAATGTGAAGTTTCTTACCACTTGTCTTGGAATGTTTGTATCATACTTTAATGTGAAGTTTCTTACCACTTGTCTTGGAATGTTTGTATCATACTTTAATGGGAAGTTTCTTACCACTTGTCTTGGAATGTTTGTATCATACTTTAATGTGAAGTTTCTTACCACTTGTCTTGGAATGTTGGTATCATACTTTAATGTGAAGTTTCTTACCACTTGTCTTGGAATGTTTGTATCATACTTTAATGGGAAGTTGCTTACCACTTGTCTTGGAATGTTTGTATCATACTTTAATGTGAAGTTTCTTACCACTTGTCTTGGAATGTTTGTATCATACTTTAATGGGAAGTTGCTTACCACTTGTCTTGGAATGTTTGTATCATACTTTAATGTGAAGTTCCTTACCACTTGTCTTGGAATGTTTGTATCATACTTAAATGTGAAGTTTCTTACCACTTGTCTTGGAATGTTTGTTTCATACTTTAATGTGAAGTTTCTTACTACTTGTCTTGGAATGTTTGTTTCATACTTTAATGTGAAGTTCCTTACCACTTGTCTTGGAATGTTTGTTTCATACTTTAATGTGAAGTTCCTTACCACTTGTCTTGGAATGTTTGTATCATACTTTAATGGGAAGTTGCTTACCACTTGTCTTGGAATGTTTGTATCATACTTTAATGTGAAGTTCCTTACCACTTGTCTTGGAATGTTTGTATCATACTTTAATATGAAGTTTCTTACCACTTGTCTTGGAATGTTTGTATCATACTTTAATGTGAAGTTCCTTACCACTTGTCTTGGAATGTTGGTATCATACTTTAATGTGAAGTTTCTTACCACTTGTCTTGGAATGTTTGTATCATACTTTAATGTAAAGTTTCTTACCACTTGTCTTGGAATGTTTGTATCATACTTTAATGTGAAGTTCCTTACCACTTGTCTTGGAATGTTGGTATCATACTTTAATGGGACGTTTCTTACCATTTGTCTTGGAATATTTGTATCATACTTTAATGTAAAGTTTCTTACCACTTGTCTTGGAATGTTTGTATCATACTATAATGTAAAGTTTCTTACCACTTGTCTTAGAATGTTTGTATCATACTTTAATATGAAGTTTCTTACCACTTGTCTTGGAATGTTTGTATCATACTTTAATGTGAAGTTTCTTACCACTTGTCTTGGAATGTTTGTATCATACTTTAATGTGAAGTTTCTTACCACTTGTCTTGGAATGTTTGTATCATACTTTTATGTGAAGTTTCTTACCACTTGTCTTGGAATGTTTGTATCATACTTTAATGTGAAGTTTCTTACCACTTGTCTTGGTATGTTTGTATCATACTTTAATGTGAAGTTTCTTACCACTTGTCTTGGAATGTTTGTATCATACTTTAATGTGAAGTTTCTTACCACTTGTCTTGGTATGTTTGTATCATACTTTAATGTAAAGTTTCTTACCACTTGTCTTGGAATGTTTGTATCATACTTTAATGTAAAGTTTCTTACCATTTGTCTTGGAATGTTTGTATCATACTTTAATGTGAAGTTTCTTACCACTTGTCTTGGAATGTTTGTATCATACTTTAATGTGAAGTTTCTTACCACTTGTCTTGGAATGTTTGTATCATACTTTAATGTGAAGTTTCTTACCACTTGTCTTGGAATGTTTGTATCATACTTTAATATGAAGTTTCTTACCACTTGTCTTGGAATGTTTGTATCATACTTTAATGTGAAGTTTCTTACCACTTGTCTTGGAATGTTTGTATCATACTTTAATGTGAAGTTTCTTACCACTTGTCTTGGAATGTTTGTATCATACTTTAATGTGAAGTTTCTTACCACTTGTCTTGGTATGTTTGTATCATACTTTAATGAGAAGTTTCTTACCACTTGTCTTGGAATGTTTGTATCATACTTTAATGGTAAGTTGCTTACCACTTGTCTTGGAATGTTTGTATCATACTTTAATGTGAAGTTTCTTACCACTTGTCTTGGAATGTTTGTATCATACTTTAATGTGAAGTTTCTTACCACTTGTCTTGGAATGTTTGTATCATACTTTAATGGGAAGTTGCTTACCACTTGTCTTGGAATGTTTGTATCATACTTTAATGGGAAGTTGCTTACCACTTGTCTTGGAATGTTTGTATCATACTTTAATGTGAAGTTTCTTACCGCTTGTCTTGGAATGTTTGTATCATACTTTAATGTGAAGTTTCTTACCACTTGTCTTGGAATGTTTGTATCATACTTTAATGGGAAGTTGCTTACCACTTGTCTTGGAATGTTTGTATCATACTTTAATGTGAAGTTTCTTACCACTTGTCTTGGAATGTTTGTTTCATACTTTAATGTGAAGTTTCTTACCACTTGTCTTGGAATGTTTGTATCATACTTTAATGTGAAGTTTCTAACCACTTGTCTTGGAATGTTTGTATCATACTTTAATGTGAAGTTTCTTACCACTTGTCTTGGAATGTTTGTATCATACTTTAATGTGAAGTTTCTTACCACTTGTCTTGGAATGTTTGTATCATACTTTAATGTGAAGTTTCTTACCACTTGTCTTGGAATGTTTGTATCATACTTTAATGTGAAGTTTCTTACCACTTGTCTTGGAATGTTTGTATCATACTTTAATGTGAAGTTTCTAACCACTTGTCTTGGAATGTTTGTATCATACTTTAATGTGAAGTTTCTTACAACTTGTCTTGGAATGTTTGTATCATACTTTAATGTGAAGTTTCTTACCACTTGTCTTGGAATGTTTGTATCATACTTTAATGGGAAGTTGCTTACCACTTGTCTTGGAATGTTTGTATCATACTTTAATGTGAAGTTTCTTACCACTTGTCTTGGAATGTTTGTATCATACTTTAATATGAAGTTTCTTACCACTTGTCTTGGAATGTTTGTATCATACTTTAATGAGAAGTTTCTTACCACTTGTCTTGGAATGTTTGTATCATACTTTAATATGAAGTTTCTTACCACTTGTCTTGGAATGTTTGTTTCATACTTTAATGAGAAGTTTCTTACCACTTGTCTTGGAATGTTTGTATCATACTTTAATGTGACGTTTCTTACCACTTGTCTTGGAATGTTTGTATCATACTTTAATGTGAAGTTTCTTACAACTTGTCTTGGAATGTTTGTATCATACTTTAATGTGAAGTTGCTTACCACTTGTCTTGGAATGTTTGTATCATACTTTAATGTGAGGTTTCTTACCACTTGTCTTGGAATGTTTGTTTCATACTTTAATGTGAAGTTTCTTACCACTTGTCTTGGAATGTTTGTATCATACTTTAATGTGAAGTTTCTTACCACTTGTCTTGGAATGTTTGTATCATACTTTAATGTAAAGTTTCTTACCACTTGTCTTGGAATGTTTGTATCATACTTTAATGTGAAGTTTCTTACCACTTGTCTTGGAATGTTTGTATCATACTTTAATGTGAAGTTTCTTACCACTTGTCTTGGAATGTTTGTATCATACTTTAATGTGAAGTTTCTTACCACTTGTCTTGGTATGTTTGTATCATACTTTAATGTGAAGTTTCTTACCACTTGTCTTGGAATGTTTGTATCATACTTTAATGTGAAGTTTCTTACCACTTGTCTTGGAATGTTTGTATCATACTTTAATGTGAAGTTTCTTACCACTTGTCTTGGAATGTTTGTATCATACTTTAATGTGAAGTTGCTTACCACTTGTCTTGGAATGTTTGTATCATACTTTAATGTGAGGTTTCTTACCACTTGTCTTGGAATGTTTGTTTCATACTTTAATGTGAAGTTTCTTACCACTTGTCTTGGAATGTTTGTATCATACTTTAATGTGAAGTTTCTTACCACTTGTCTTGGAATGTTTGTATCATACTTTAATGTAAAGTTTCTTACCACTTGTCTTGGAATGTTTGTATCATACTTTAATGTGAAGTTTCTTACCACTTGTCTTGGAATGTTTGTATCATACTTTAATGTGAAGTTTCTTACCACTTGTCTTGGAATGTTTGTATCATACTTTAATGTGAAGTTTCTTACCACTTGTCTTGGTATGTTTGTATCATACTTTAATGTGAAGTTTCTTACCACTTGTCTTGGAATGTTTGTATCATACTTTAATGTGAAGTTTCTTACCACTTGTCTTGGAATGTTTGTATCATACTTTAATGTGAAGTTTCTTACCACTTGTCTTGGAATGTTTGTATCATACTTTAATGTGAAGTTTCTTACCACTTGTCTTGGAATGTTTGTATCATACTTTAATGTGAAGTTTCTTACCACTTGTCTTGGAATGTTTGTATCATACTTTAATGTAAAGTTTCTTACCACTTGTCTTGGAATGTTTGTATCATACTTTAATGTGAAGTTTCTTACCACTTGTCTTGGAATGTTTGTATCATACTTTAATGTGAAGTTTCTTACCACTTGTCTTGGAATGTTTGTATCATACTTTAATGTGAAGTTTCTTACCACTTGTCTTGGTATGTTTGTATCATACTTTAATGTGAAGTTTCTTACCACTTGTCTTGGAATGTTTGTATCATACTTTAATGTGAAGTTTCTTACCACTTGTCTTGGAATGTTTGTATCATACTTTAATGTGAAGTTTCTTACCACTTGTCTTGGAATGTTTGTATCATACTTTAATGTGAAGTTTCTTACCACTTGTCTTGGTATGTTTGTATCATACTTTAATGTGAAGTTTCTTACCACTTGTCTTGGAATGTTTGTATCATACTTTAATGGGAAGTTGCTTACCACTTGTCTTGGAATGTTTGTATCATACTTTAATGTGAAGTTTCTTACCACTTGTCTTGGAATGTTTGTATCATACTTTAATGTGAAGTTCCTTACCACTTGTCTTAGAATGTTTGTATCATACTTTAATGGGAAGTTGCTTACCACTTGTCTTGGAATGTTTGTATCATACTTTTATGTGAAGTTTCTTACCACTTGTCTTGGAATGTTTGTATCATACTTTAATGTGAAGTTTCTTACCACTTGTCTTGGAATGTTTGTATCATACTTTAATGTGAAGTTTCTTACCACTTGTCTTGGAATGTTTGTATCATACTTTAATGTGAAGTTTCTTACCACTTGTCTTGGAATGTTTGTATCATACTTTAATGTGAAGTTTCTTACCACTTGTCTTGGAATGTTTGTATCATACTTTAATGTGAAGTTTCTTACCACTTGTCTTGGAATGTTTGTATCATACTTTAAAGTGAAGTTTCTTACCACTTGTCTTGGAATGTTGGTATCATACTTTAATGTGAAGTTTCTTACCACTTGTCTTGGAATGTTTGTATCATACTTTAATGAGAAGTTTCTTACCACTTGTCTTGGAATGTTTGTATCATACTTTAATGAGAAGTTTCTTACCACTTGTCTTGGAATGTTTGTATCATACTTTAATGTGAAGTTTCTTACCACTTGTCTTGGAATGTTTGTATCATACTTTAATGAGAAGTTTCTTACCACTTGTCTTGGAATGTTTGTATCATACTTTAATGTGAAGTTTCTTACCACTTGTCTTGGAATGTTTGTATCATACTTTAATGTGAAGTTTCTTACCACTTGTCTTGGAATGTTTGTATCATACTTTAATTGGAAGTTTCTTACCACTTGTCTTGGAATGTTTGTATCATACTTTAATGTGAAGTTTCTTACCACTTGTCTTGGAATGTTTGTATCATACTTTAATGGGAAGTTTCTTACCACTTGTCTTGGAATGTTTGTATCATACTTTAATGTGAAGTTTCTTACCACTTGTCTTGGAATGTTTGTATCATACTTTAATGGGAAGTTTCTTACCACTTGTCTTGGAATGTGTGTATCATACTTTAATGTGAAGTTTCTTACCACTTGTCTTGGAATGTTTGTATCATACTTTAATGTGAAGTTTCTTACCACTTGTCTTGGAATGTTTGTATCATACTTTAATGTGAAGTTTCTTACCACTTGTCTTGGAATGTTTGTATCATACTTTAATGTGAAGTTTCTTACCACTTGTCTTGGAATGTTTGTATCATACTTTAATGTGAAGTTTCTTACCACTTGTCTTGGAATGTTTGTATCATACTTTAATGTGAAGTTTCTTACCACTTGTCTTGGAATGTTTGTATCATACTTTAATGTGAAGTTGCTTACCACTTGTCTTGGAATGTTTGTATCATACTTTAATGTGAAGTTTCTTACCACTTGTCTTGGAATGTTTGTATCATACTTTAAAGTGAAGTTTCTTACAACTTGTCTTGGAATGTTTGTATCATACTTTAATGTGAAGTTTCTTACCACTTGTCTTGGAATGTTTTTATCATACTTTAATGTGAAGTTTCTTACCACTTGTCTTGGAATGTTTGTATCATACTTTAAAGTGAAGTTGCTTACCACTTGTCTTGGAATGTTTGTATCATACTTTAATGTAAAGTTTCTCTTCCCAAGGGCTATCCTGGAATCAAAAATAATCTGAAGCTATATAATTTTGTCAAATATGATTATTATCAATAATTGTTCATTTTTGGCTCATTTTAGTCAAGAGTATAAATAGACAGAAATCTTATCTCTCTGAATTGCAGTCATTGATACAGCATATAAAAGTATGTCTACCGCTGTGTCTTGCATTGAATAATATACACAAAAAATGAAGAATATTCCACTTTAATTGAAAAAGTAATTCCAAAATTAGATGGTGCATTTTTGTCTCTCTGAATATCCTTTCATTGGAATCATGTTCAAAAGAATAATAAATGAAATGAAAATAAATTGCTTTTTATCAACTCTTCTAATTACAGTACACCATTTTAAAAATGTAGTATCTGTAAAATATGGTTTACCCTTTCTGAGAACAGTATTCATAAAACTTTTTACAGGTTGCTTGTAATAGTCGGAGGCCACCAAGATATCTGCAATAAAAATATTCCGATAAATTCAAGTGTTATATACTATTACTATTATATATTATATGTGTACACACTGCACTATCCTATTAAATAGTATAATATATTATAAGATAGATTCATATATATAATGACTTCGATCTGTACTTCCATCCTTGTTGAGTTGTCATGGTAACATTATTATTGGCGAGATGTCAGCCTGGTTACTATGGTAGAGATTTAAGTTGGTAAGGTTTTAATAAAAGCAGTACTGGTCAATTAAAGTATATGACTAAAGGTTATTTGAAGTAATTATTTATGAGTAAATGTATGTTATTGTGAAGCTCTTGTCCTATCTTTTTATTAAATTAAATATCTTTGTTTAATTAGATTTTCCCAGAAAGTATTTTATCAGTTGAAAATTTCAATGTAAAGACCTCATATGGTAATACATGTATGTGAAATCATTCTGAGTAAGCTTACCCTTCTTTCCGGCTTATACCATAGAGGTCCCATAAACTGCCAAACTCTGTGGGGTCATTGAGAGGGTGGGGCATCAGCACTAGACGTTCACTCTCAACTATTGTCACTTCAGCCCAGAAGTTTGCTATAGACATAGAGATTGTCTTTCCATTGAAGCCATCAGAGGGGTTACCCATGAGGCCCACCCTATAATTTACTGTATTTTTACATTTTGTATATCATTTAAGCATTGTAAAAGAAGAAATGTGCACATCAAGTGAAATTTATCATACTAAACCAACATGTTTCTTGGGACATAAATGATGCAATAATACAATAGAAGGACAAACAAATATTACAACATCCATATGAAATGATATATTCAAACAACAACCTTATATGAAATCAAATGACACATTCCAAATGAAAAATTGCAGAGCAGAATTTAAACAAACCTCACTTGTGATTGAAAGATGTCACACTATATGCTAATTCTATACTATATTTCGTACATCTAATTCATCAAATAATGTCACGACATACATGGGGTCAAATGCTATCACACCCTTGCAAAAGCCAAATGCTCTCATACCATTGAATCAAATGCTGTCACAACAAATGCTATCACACCCTTGCAAAAGCCAAATGCTCTCATACCATTGAATCAAATGCTGTCACAACAAATGCTATCACACCCTTGCAAAAGCCAAATGCTCTCATACCATTGGATCAAAAGCTGTCACAAAAATGCTATCACACCCTTGCAAAAGCCAAATGCTCTCATACCATTGAATCAAATGCTGTCACAACAAATGCTATCACAACCTTGCAAAAGCCAAATGCTCTCATACCACTGGATCGAATGCTGTCACAACAAATGCTATCACACCCTTGCAAAAGCCAAATGCCCTCATACCATTGGATCAAATGCTGTCACAAGAAATGCTATCACACCCTTGCAAAAGCCAAATGCTCTCATACCATTGAATCAAATGCTGTCACAACAAATGCTAGCACACCCTTGCAAAAGCCAAATGCTCTCATACCACTGGATCAAATGCTGTCACAACAAATGCTATCACACCCTTGCAAAAGCCAAATGCTCTCATGCCATTGGATCAAATGCTGTCAAGAAAAATTGCCAATACACCCTCACAAGACCCAAATGCTCTCATGCCATTGAATCAAATGCTGTCACAACAAATGCTATCACACCCTTGCAAAAGCCAAATACTCTCATACCACTGGATCAAATGCTGTCACAACAAATCCTGTCACACCCTTGCAAAAGCCAAATGCTCTCGTACCATTGAATCAAATGCTGTCACAAGAAATGCTATCACACCCTTGCAAAAGCCAAATGCTCTCATACCATTGAATCAAATGCTGTCTGGACAAAATGCTATCACACTTACCTCGCATGAGACCTCTTGGTAATAGGCTGATGGTTGAATTCATATTGCTTACTTGAGAAATACTCAAGCCAACGTTTGTAGTCTAATAAACCCTATATCATTAGAAAAGAATCATTAATCATAATTTCAAATTAATCATACTGAAAAGGATTCATATATGATCAAGAAAATAAAATTATTTCAATGATACTTTGAGTTAATAAAAAGTTTATCTTTAAATGCAAATTGTAGATTAACCATACTTGAACTTGTATGAATATTAACCTCTTGAATCCCAGGTTCTAAAATAGGTTGAAACCAGATTATTTTTGATAGCTTTTGACATTTTACTACATACATACACAACAGATTATGATCAATTTAGTAAAATTAGACGGCGGAGATCATTCCTAGACATTTTGAAACAGTTTTTGTGTAAATTGAATAAAAATTGTTCAAATAAGAGGAATTTTAGTGAACAATTTTGTGACGGATTATCTCGTCACTCTGGGTTTCAAGGTCATTTCTGAGGTCTCTCGTCACTCTTGGTTGTCAAGAGGTTAATATAAGAACATTTAATTAGTTCAAAACAATTACCACTTGTCCTATAAGTTGAAAACCAGTTGGTAATTTCATTCCATAGACTGTCTTTCCTTTATCATTTATTAGCCATTCCTAGAACATCAGACAAACATCTTTTTTTTTCTATTTTTTTGATAACATTTATTTTCCTTTTTCAATTAACTTACAACTGTACATTAACATCAATCATACAAAATAAACATACCAGTCTTACAAATTTAATATCTTTTGTTTGTTAAACTTGCTTTAAATATTACCTAAACAGTTCTGGCAGTTGAAAATTTGGATTGTTTTGCTGGTTATTAGAACATCTTAATAATAAATTGTGCAGACTCAAAACCCTTGGTATTATTTAATTCATAAAATAAGCATAGCTAATAATAAGAACTCTAATGTAAGGATTGATAAATGTAGTACATACCATGAATTTACCAAATCTCCTTTCATTTGGTGTATTGCACTGTGTTAGATAATCTCCAAAATAAGCCAGCGATTGCTTTCTGTAAAAAAACATGTTAACCTTTAAACAGGACATAGTAGATTCTTAAACATTTTATAAATGTGTGGGTGAAAAATATCAGAATTAAACACAATAACAGAATGGAAATAATGCTCAGTGCTTAAAAATAATGTACAATCTGACTTTAGTAACAAACCGAATGTGGACAGGTTTTGAACAACATAAATTAAATAGCAAATGTATGTGTAAAGTACTTATATTATAGGGAGGGGTTTCGTTCCGACTTACAATCACCTCCCCTCTCATACCAATTCCTACCTGAAGCAGTAGAACACCACACTGGCCAACCTGGATGAAGTCTGGTCACTTGAAGGCTTCTCTAAGAACTTTCCTATTCTAATATATAAGAACATGAATAGAACTGTACATGTTTTATTGTATATCAACATTTCCTTTCTTCAAGACCTAACACCTCTTCCTGTTCTAATCTGCCCTTTCCAGTCCAGAACTTCACTCTCTGGTCCTAGACTACTCATTTCAGTCCTACACTACCCCTTCTGGTCCTAGATTATCCTTTCTATTACTCCTTTTGAGCCCTAGGCTACCTTCTTTGATCCCAGACTACCCTTTCCAGTCCTTGCTTATCTTTTCCAGTCATAGACTACACTTTCAAATCCTAGACTACCTTCTTTGATCCTAGACTACCCTTTCCAGTCCTTGCTTATCTTTTCCAGTCATAGACTACACTTTCAAATCCTAGACTACCCTTTCTAGTCCTAGACTACATTTTTGATCCTAAACTACCTTTTTAAGTCCAAAACTATGTACAATGTATGTACTATTTCCTGTTCTCGATATATCATAACTGATCTTCCACTAAAAGCAACATGCAAGAGGGGATTAAGAACTCTAGACTAGTCCCTTTCCAGTCCTAAACTACAGTACCATTCCCTGTTCAAGATAAATAATTTCTTAATAAATAACTGAACTACTACCATTACCTGACATGTGGTTTATGAATTAAAAATAGATAGTTATCATAATTGATATCAATAGGAAAAACAAAATGCATTTTAAAATAAGTTCTATTAATGTAAAAACAGTAACATGCAAATGCAAGAGGGGATTTAGAAAAAACAAGATACATTAAAATACTTTGAGAATATGATAAAATGTATTTAATTACCTCTGGCTAAATATATCCCTTGAGGAAGTATAAAAACAGGTTGAAAGATGCAAAAAACTACATGAACATACATGTACATGAATACATGTTATATCATCATGAGACAAACTTGCATTGTACCTGATGAACATTGGCATACAGTGTTATAATGTAATAAGTCAATGAAACATAATGACAAAAATGACTTAATTTTTAGGGGTAGTTAAAGTCAAATATGGTTCATATAAGCATACACTAATTTTTTAAAGAAGCAAGTTTTACTGTCAAAAAAATCAATGAAAGCAGGTCAGTCTGAAATGTAACTTTTTCATTTTGGGAAACAATGTTCCGTTCCTTGTTGCATTAGATAATTCAGTATAACTAATATGTCTTTAGGTGTAATATAATAACATGCTTTAGGGACTAGGTTGAAGACAAATGCCAGTAGTGGACACCGGAAATCCAGGCCTGAAAGTCAAGACATAAATAGACAGAACGCTACCGCCATCTTTCTGTGGACATAATGCATAATACACTGAATGTAAACTGTACCTTAAATTATCCTCTGCAAGATGTACAATTCCTCTTGTAGAGGTACATTCTGATTGCTCCATTTCATAAAGCATTGCTAGATCCCCATCCCCCTTCAGTTTAAAGTACTTCACAACTTGGGCAACGTCAAATCTTTGGTCTTGGAATAGCATATCACCCGCCACCTTGAATGTTAGAATTGTAAACAATATCTTCTAAACAATTGTAATACAGCAATGCAAGTATGCCAATATTGAGGTGTTCATTAAGTGTTGGTTCAGCAATACAAGTGTTCATTACATGATATATTGTGTTTGTTAGGGCAAGGTGTGTGTAATCTTAGTCTTTCATTGCCTTTCTGTCCCTGATATATTTCACCAACCAGTGTCAGTAAGTGGAGAATGGGAGTGAGGGATATTATACATGTAGACGTTTGATGCAAGACATGGGGTTCTTTTATTAATATGACTTCACTTTTTGATTAACAATGTTCACTTACCACCATGATGTCATCATTGACTTTTTTATTCCTAATGACAAGATCAACATCAGCCACTGCACCAATACTGCGAATACACATCAACATTTTCATTGTTCCACTACTATGAATTACTTCTCAAAACATGTATATGGAGGTGGCCAGTACTGGATCTAGGTGGATCAATCCCGCCCACAGATTTTATTTATAAAACAGAGAGTTTGACTCTGCTGCCATCTTTCAATTAATTAACACTAACACAAAAGCACAAGGTGCATGGGAACAATAGGGAGTTTTCGGTTTAAGTTTTCAGTCGAACTTGCAACTATAACTTTTAAGTGACGGAAACATCACTGGGAGGAAGGTTTCTCAAAGAAACCAAGAAAGTACATTTCATAAGAAAAATTGTCCTCGTTTCCTAATCAAGAATTGATTTGTGAATATCCCAGCAATGGCAGAATTAATTAATTAATTAAGTTGTAATCATAGCTTGAAACCGAACTCACAAACTACATACTTGCCGAATATTTTGTTGAGATTTGACTTCCTCCCCAGTGCTATACCTGACCTTTACAAGTACAAGTTTGAGTATACTTATTCCAAAAAACTTAGATCGAAACCTCTCTATTATATATTATGAATCATATATAATCCATACCTATTAGCAAGAGTTGTTGTACCATCATTTACTATATTCGCAACAGGGAAATCACTGGCAGTTGCCCATCTCTCATAGTGCTTGTATCTGAAACAGATTTTTTATAAAATATAGTTCATTATTGTATATGTTTAATTTCATATATTGTATCATTTAAAAGTCTACATTGCCCTACAGTGGACATGTATGATAAAAATTTGATTTTAAATGAATTACGGTAGCTAATTTGAACAAGATTGTAAAGTTACCAACGTTTTTTGACCATGTACATATACATGTACACTATGTTCAAAATATATTATGGTTTAATACTTGTCTTTGCAAAACTGTTGCATTTTCAGATATGCTTTATCACACTGTGGTTTCTCAGTTGAACTTTAAGAATCAAATTAAAGATTTATTATATGCTAATAAACATCATGTAAGTACCATTTAGTGTCTATTATATCAGAGACATATCATATGTCTCTGATTATACAGTATTGACAATTAATAATTTTAACTAGGCTTAAACTGGAAATCCATTGACATACTTTGTTGTCCAAAAATAAAAACATGTCTGGTTATGATGACATTCATAGTTGAACAAACTTATTCTTTAATTAGTTTGTGATTACATTAGACGTGAGATTCATTGTTAAGTGTTTAAATTGAACGCAGGTAATTTTCTTGTTAATCTACAAGTCTTTGATGTCTGAAATAAAAACATGTCTGGACTCTAATGCAACATCAATAGTATTAATTAAAAAAATGATTACATATATTTATTTTTGTTTAACACATCAGACAGATCCTGCTCCTTCTTTCTTCTTCCCATCCTTTTTATTATTTTATTAGATTTCAGTCATTGCTCACTAAACACACCTTTAGAGTATATACAGGTTTTACTGTAATAATGTTTAAACAAACCAATTTTATGAAATAGTTATGGTGACCATGACTGTATGTTTTGTGACCTCTATGATGCAGTAAAGACCTTATATTACGAGATATTGGTTTGGCCCATAAATTTCCATTTTGTTCAATTAAGTTATAATAAAGTTATTTTAACTCATTATTTATTTCCATTTTAAGACAGCAGTCTAATAACTTTATGACAGTAAAACCTCTGTACTTTGAACACCCATTAACTTTACTTTAAAATGAACCATGTAAGTAGAACACCTCCCAAGCAGAAACCTATTTCGATGCACCGAGGGTGTTCCACTTAAACAGGTTTTACTGTGCTGACATCTTTATACTGGCCTTAACCTGGAAATCAACTTACTTGTCTGCATTAGTCACAAGATAAACCTCACTAAATATTTGCCTCCTGGAAATACATGAAATAAACAAAATAACAATAAATGATGAAAATATTTATGAACCAGATCAGGACTTGTTTATGAGATTTTGCAAATTGATGTAACTTTGGATGGCCTTTACAATGATGCACAATATGGTTGTATGAATGACTTTAAGTGTGGGAGGGGGGCTTCCCGGGAAAGGGGGGGGGGGGCTTATTGTATATCGGACATACTACAATTGATTGTGATTCAGGAGTACAAGTCTAAAACATGCCTATAGATTGGATCCAAAAGTAAATGAGGCAAAGGTGAGGCAAGGGTGAGGCCAAATTTACAATACCTCAAGTGGTAAAATAATGGTGAGGGCAAGTCAACTGCCTCACCCGCTTCTACTATAAGGCCATCCCGTGAAATCTCAGAATTGCTGCCTTATGTTTTTTTGTCTTAAATTTTTTTTATTGTTGCTATACGCTATTTGTTTATAACAGATACAAGTTTATTCATGATGTAATGTCTTACGTCTTAATTGTTTCCCACCAGTAATCCAAGATGCGTTTCCCTCCAACTCCTGGGAGTAGTGCTTTAGGAATACCAGCCAAGTGAACATAGTCTTTGTCAGTCTGAAATTAATAATGTTTTGCCTTGTATGACTTTGATTACACTCAACCAAATAATCCAAGATGCGTTTCCCTCCAACCCCTGGGAGTAGTGCTTTTGGAATACCAGCCAAGTGAACATAGTCTTTGTCAGTCTGAAATTAATAATGTTTTGCCTTGTATGACTTTGATTACACTCAACCAAATAATCCAAGATGCGTTTCCCTCCAACCCCTGGGAGTAGTGCTTTAGGAATACCAGCCAAGTGAACATAGTCTTTGTCAGTCTGAAATTAATAATTAATGTTTTGTTTTGTATGACTTTGATTACACTCAACCAAATAATCCAAGATGCGTTTCCCTCCAACCCCTGGGAGTAGTGCTTTTGGAATACCAGCCAAGTGAACATAGTCTTTGTCAGTCTGAAATTAATAATGTTTTGCCTTGTATGACTTTGATTACACTCAACCAAATAATCCAAGATGCGTTTCCCTCCAACCCCTGGGAGTAGTGCTTTAGGAATACCAGCCAAGTGAACATAGTCTTTGTCAGTCTGAAATTAATAATTAATGTTTTGTTTTGTATGACTTTGATTACACTCAACCAAAAAGCTTGTTTGCACTCAACCAAAGATTTTCCCTAACTTGTCAATGAACTCTTGATGTTACTATTCTAACAGCTGCAAGAATATTCTAACAAGACTGCTAAAAATATTATAATCCAATTTATATTATACATGTTACTATAGTAAGAAAAGAATTGTTAATCGTTAACGACACATACAAGTTAATATTTTTATGGGTTTGATAATTTTGTGTGTTTAATACAATCTCACAATTATTTGATTACCCTGGATTCCTTGATATGTAGTTACCATGGCAACCATTTCTAGTTCAAAGATGAGATTTTCTTAGTACTTTCAGTAACTTGATCTCAATAGCGCATTTATATGCAGTGAAACCTGTAAAGTGGAACACCTCTAAAAGTGGAACACTTCAGAGCCCCAAGACAAACTGACTTCATGTTAAATAAACATAAGTGGAATACATCCCAAAATAGAACACTTTTGAGATGTACCAAAGGTGTTCCACTTAGACAGATTCTACTGTATTCAAGGGTTTCTGCTTGCAGTCATTTCTTTCCGGATATCAGCACTTTAGATTTTCGAAATCAGCACCATAATTAAAAGATGATTTTCAAAAGAATACACAAATTGTCAATATATATATCACATATAATAATATGACATATCTAGTTTGATCAGCTCAGAATAGAAATATTTGTAGTCCTCAACACTCATACTAGTCCCATAGTTCTATATATTTTTTAATACCACTATATTACTACATTCCAAGTCTTGACCTACATGTATGTGGCTTGCTTTATTGACTTCTCTTTTAGTCATGATGAATTCCTGTGGAATAAAATAAACTACCTTGCCAAGACTGCACCAGGGCCTTCATGATCTACCCCCATTTCATGGGGTTGACCAACCTCACATTTATGGGAGTGTCAATACTATCATGATCCTCTATGCATACAGGCATACAATGTATGATGAGACAAGCCTAAGAATTCTTGAGTTTCTTGATCATCTCAATATTTTATGCAATGCAATCAATCATGAACATATCAATGTAAATCTCACCCTTATTTCACTTTCCAGGAGTGTACCATGTCCTGCTACCAATATAATACATATCATATTTTGACTGCTATACCTAAAATGAAGTAGAGAAACAAGAACAAGTTTTAAACTACACCATTCGTAAGCTTACACTTCCGGGTTTGTATTTCCGGTCATGTAAAACTATGGTATAAAGCGAACCGAAAAATTTTATGATTGAAGTATAGTAAAAGAAAATTTAAACATAATTGAAAAGTCAGTTTACATTTTTATCAGTTCTAAAATTCAAAGAAATTTGAATTATAATTTTTTACAGTTGTTAACATGGTAATAGACATTATAGTATTTTATTTTCGTTTCAGATAAGTTTGACATTGAAGATCTCCATGATGAAAATTTGGGAGTAAACATCAAAAAAAATGTTACGGAAATTGACTGTAAACGCTTCCAATCGAGGGCCTATCGACTAATTAATCTGTTCTCAATTTTTTCCTGTGTGTAGAGCACCATCTTGACACATAATGGAGTTCAAAAGTGCCGTGTATAACGCAGCCAGAGAGGGAAAAGTATGTCGTCTAAAAATGTTCCTCGATCACAAAAATGAGGAGGAAGTGAAGATGTTATGTCATGCTAAAACCAACGGTGGTACTCCTCTCATTATGGGATGTCGACATGGTCATATAGACGTTGTTGAATACCTCATTGACTCTTGTAATGTGGATATTGAACAGACAGGTTCAGTGACATTTGATGGAGAAACGATAGAAGGAGCTCCGCCCCTTTGGAGCGCAGCTGCTGCGGGCCATAAGCATATTGTTGAGTTTTTGATATCAAAAGGAGCTGGTGTGAACAATACAACATTTACCAACTCAACACCCCTAAGAGCAGCATGCTTCGATGGCCATATAGAAATCGTCAAGTATCTCTGTGAGCATAATGCTGACATAGAGGTTGCGAATAGGCACGGTCATACATGTCTCATGATATCTTGCTATAAAGGACACATTGATATCGTCAAGTATTTGTTGGAGCGCAAAGCTGATGCCAATAGGAAAAGTGTGAAAGGCATGTAATTTTGTTGTGCATGTAAAATTCAGCTTTGTGTCATTACTGACAATGTATAACAACCCCACATTTTCAATGCACAAGTAGTTGTGATTTGGAAAGTCCACTCCATATTTATGGGGGTAATGTATCAGAAACTAAAAATTATTTGTGCAATTAATGATTTTACAATTTAGCCAGTTTTTGTGCAATTTTATAGATTTTTGGCAATTTTACTGATTTTTATTGTACTTTTTCAAAGTGTTATACTTTGATAATCTTGTGCCTATGGTGGTCTTGTGCTAATGTTGTGAAAAGTGAAATATCTTGTAGAACAGAATGTTTCTTCTTACTGAACACATTTAAAAATAATAAAAACTCAAAGTTGACCAAAAATTATCCATATCTACTCTACTATATGAAACAGTGACCCATATGTACTTTTATTCCATAGTTAGCATGATATTCATAGGATAACATGTGAAAATAAAAACGGTATTTTTGTAATCAGTGGTAAAATATGATATTTTTGACAAATTTTCACTTAACCATAGCATACGGTTTTTTAGCCATGACATACGACGTCGTATGCGATGGTTTATGGATTTTTGCTACTTCAGACTCAAAACGAGGCTAGTGTCAACATCGCCGGATCGTTTGGAAAATTCTAATTAAATCACTTAATTTCCGACGATTCTGACGATGACTTTAACCATGGAATAAAAAGAACATCCTATGATTTACTCGTGATATGATTTTAATCCACTCATGGATATTGATATCTGCACTCTCTCGCTACGCTCGCTCGTGCAGATATCATATCCATTCGTGGTTAAAAATCATATCACTCATAAATCATAGGATATCCTCTATGTATTATTTGAGATAATTTTTTCATGTCAGTGAGTTGCCTTTATAAGCACAAGTAATAGTTATAATTCAAAAATTAATTTTCTTGTTGTCTTTGCAGGTAATACAGCTCTGCATGATTGTGCTGAGTCTGGGAGTTTAGATATAATGAAACTACTGCTTGAGCGCTCAACAAAGATGGAGAAAGATTCTTATGGGATGACTCCACTCCTTGCGGCTGCTGTGACTGGCCATACTAACATTGTTGAGTACCTGACTGACTCTGTCCATTGTGATAAAGCTGAGCGCATAGATGCCCTTGAACTCCTTGGGGCTACCTACGTTGATAAAAAGCGCGATATGCTAGGAGGATTGCACTACTGGCGTCAAGCTATGGAAGAACGCTTTAGTGACCCCATACATTTAATGCCAAAACCCGAAACATTATCAAAGATTGCTGCGTATGAAAATGCAACTGAAGTGACAAATAGGCTGCAGCTTGATGAGCTCATATCAGACCCTGATGACATGCGAATGCAAGCTCTGTTGGTGAGAGAGCGTATACTAGGGCCGGCTCACCCTGACACGTCCTATTATATACGCTACCGTGGGGCTGTTTATGCTGATCTTGGCAACTTTGACAGGTGTATAACACTTTGGATGTATGCTCTGGACATGCAGCAAAAGCTTTTGGAACCTTTGAATCCAATGACACAAAGCAGCTTTCTCTCTTTTGCTGAGTTATTCTCATTCATGATGTCAGATAATCGGTCACGTCCAGCGCAGAATGTTCCATTCAATGACATCATGGCTGTGTATGAGGAGTGCATCAATGAGATTGATAGAGGCAGTAAACATATTCAGTCTGTCAATATCACAGAACGTGACCATACAAACTATAACCGGCTAATTCTAGTCGTTTTACACTTAATGTGCCTCATCTGTAAAACAAAACGGAGTATGCGATCGGAGCAAGATTTTTCATTCAAGAAACTTGCGTACAAACTTGTGAAAATGAATCCATTGGGCACAAAGGGATATTCACTCCTTCATATGGCATGTGCTAAAGAAACTACATCTGTTGGACGCTATCCAGTTTGTGCCTTCCCCTCCATTGAAGTAGTCAACATTCTTCTTGAAGTTGGAGCCAATATACATGCTACAGATATAGATAATAACACTCCGCTTCATATAGCCGCCATGAATAAGCCAAGCAAGGTGGAAGTTGTCAAGTTATTGCTCAATAATGGCGCTCATGTAGACACATGCAATAATGAACGGCAAAATCCTATGCAGATTTTACGCAGTGCCTCCCAGGCCCCCCTACCTATAAGCATTGTAAACTACATCAGCCTTCAATGCTTGGCTGCCCAAACTATCATGCAATCTAAGATAAACTATGTGGGAAGTGTACCTAAAAAGATGGAAGATTTCTTGAAAATGCACTAGCATCACACTCGTGCAGCATGTCTGGTGTAGGGTTGGTTAAATCCCATGTTCAGACAAAACCACAAAGCTCACCATTCATCTATTATTTTACTCGACAATTGGCTAAGAGCACATCACTCTACTATACCTCACCCCTAGAAATGCATAAGAAATTCTATTTGTCTAATTGTATTGTTTATTATATTTTTGTAAGTACCTTATTAACATCTAACATGTCTAACAGTCATCCGATAAACCAATTATAAGGAACAGACACATAAAAACAGATAAGGTAATCATTACTGATAAGCCAAATGGGTTGCCCATGAACACCAAATGCAAGGTATAGTAGAGTGGCATAGCATATCTTATCTGAGTCTGCTTTTAGAAAATGGCTCATGAATATAAGTTTGTAATCACACGCCATCTTTTAACTAACATCTTGGCTTTTCTCAGGTTGAGGTTTGAATTTGCTAGGATTTTTCAGATTTTAATAAGTTTTAAGTAACTAGGATTTTGCAAATTATTATAGCCTCAAATGAAGGCTATGATTTCCATACAAACAATTGGTACAATTTGTGCAAAAACAGAACTCTTCCAGATAACATGTCATAATTTGTCATTGTCAAATCTAAGTCAAGCATAGCAAGTGGGATGTGAAACTAACTAGTGAGATAAAAGACCAGCTAGTGAGATGTTACCACCATTGAACAACAGATGTTACCATTGTTACCATTGTTGAACACAGGATATAACCATTGAACTTCAGAGGTTGCCATTAAACACCAGGTGTTGCCATTGAACACAGGGATGTTACCATTGTTGAACACAGGATGTTACCATTGAACACCAGATGTTACCATTGAACATCATATGTTACCACCATTGAACACCTGCACGTTTCTTTATTATGCCAGTCATTATATTATAATCTTTATTGTTTGTAATTCACAGAAGATGTGAAATGTCAGTGGATGCTTCAAGTTCTCTTAATATTAACCAGAAAATGAATTATAGAACATTTATCCAAGTCATTCAACATTTTGTTGTTGATAAAGCGTAACCCAACTTTTAGTTGTGTAGACTAGATGTCAATTTCAAATGGATCATTTTGATTAAGTGTTAAAGGGCTCGTTGTCTATAACTGGTCTTGAAATATACCAGTTGAAGAATTGTACTATCTATTGTTACAAACTTTATTGGAAAATTTTATTTAAAAATTAACTTGTAGCTCTAGTTAGTTAATTGCCTTATAAAGAGATTTATGCACCCCTTATAATTTGCCCATACTATACTGCGAACGGTATAAACAATTTCTTTCACGTTCTTGTATTTTCAATAAAGAAGCTTTTTAAAGGGGTAAATGGCATACTGGCAAGATTTTTAAAAATGGAATTTTTTGACAGAGCCCTTTTAAATAAAAGTTGGAACTGAATTTTATTATATTTGTTTCTAATTGACGGCTTGTTGCTTTTGGAGTGTTAACATGGATTATATAATGCTTAATAGGAAAAAACAAATAATGTTATGGTATTAAATGAAAATATAACATTACTACACTTTGAAATTCATTTTCTTCAGTATAATAAATAAAGTGTGAAGGGTTGGTTAATTTGCTTCTTTTGTGTATCTTGATTTTCAATTAAATAAAATTTAAAGTTGAAAATAACATTTTTAAAAAAGACATCGACTTAGGCAAGGCTATTTGCTTCCAAAACATTCAAGTTTCAAAGTTTCAATGAACCACCTAAGTATGAGGGCTAAACTGTTTTTGAAATATTGGAACTATTGGAGAAGGTAAAAGCATTAGTCTCTGGTTTAAGCTATTGACAATAGAGCCATGGAAATCCCACTTATAATCTGTTTACCTTTTCAATGGTAAAGGTATTGTCGTATTATGAATAAATCTGTGACCCGATCTAAAGTCAGTTGGACAAATGAAAGAATTTTGGCAGGTTATATGTTTCAGTTTAATGCTGTAAAGCTGTGACCTTGTCTGAGAGGTAAATTAAATAATGTATGGAAACTTGGAAATATTAAATAACGAAGCTTAAAGCCAAAGAACTTTACCACGAGTCTCTTCAAAATAACATAAGAATCTATGGAACCATTTGCATTAGCTAAACTGTAAGTAAACAATTAGGCCTACTTAAGTTCTAATTACAATTGATTGTAGAACTTAGCTACGCTAGCAAATCAAACACTTGATTTGTAGTTTTGTGCCTGTCGATTATCACATTTGTATCAGACGTCATGAACTTAAGAAGAGGAACTGGCAGTGGTTTGACAATGGATAAATGATGGAATAACCTTTAATAACTAACGAAAGATGCATCGAGACAGTGTTCTTTGAGGTCATATTATATATAAGAATATAAAAAATCAAATATTTCAAGCTCTAAAAGCATCGATCACTTTTAACACACTCTTAACACATACATGACATACTACTGTACTAATGTATGTGTGTGAGAATAGAGATCCAAACAAAAAAGAAAAAACAAATACAAAGTGCTATGTCGACAACAACAAAATCAAGCCCAGGGGTTTTACCAAACGAATTGAATTCAACTGAATTAATCGCGACACTTGCCACGCTCACAAAAACGTTAACCTCTCTGGAACAGACAATTCAAGAGCAGACGATCCTAACGGGGCAGCTAATCAAGCGGAAACATGTACATTCGGGGAAGGAAATACATAATAAAGATCCCTTGAAGCAGTCGACGTTTCAAAAGCTTGACAAAAAGGTAAATGGAATCTCAAAATGTCATTAGCAGTTTTGATTCTTTTTTGCAGTTCGGGACGCTCGTTTGTGAATAACATGTCATTCCGAGACAAGATTAAATGTGCGTCAAAGTATATAAAATATGAACCAAACCTGAAAACTGATACTGATATTTGAGTTATCAAAAATTATAATACCATGTAAGATTGAATATTCCAACAAGATCTAGTCTAGACCTTTTGACAAGTCGGAATCGGATTAATAAATTAGGCCGAATTCGGATTTAACTTGTTGAACTAAAAATTGAGGAGCTATAATGCCTATGAGATATTCCTTCTTAAGTAAAGACCCTGATTCCAACTCCCATAAGACATCAGCCTACAATTTACAATTGTCCAGAGTAGCCTGTGGAAATTAGAGCCGAATTCGGCAATCGTTATTTAAATTTATTTTTTCAATAAAAATTGTGCTTTAGATTTAAACTCAGTAGCCATTTTGGAAATGGTCTCCTACGAGGAGGCCCTATGTCCCTAATACATCAGTTACCAATTGAAATATTGATATTTGAGTTATCAAATATGCCATTTTTACGAAATATGGCGACCATTTTCAAATCGGCCCTTTAGGGGAGAGGTCCTTTGCCCATTAAGTATGATCGTGAAATATCACAGCCTTCTCTCAGCTTCCTTCTAGCATTCTTCTACATGGCAGAGATGGTCTGAGTATAGTATCAGAATGATTGGGTATCAGCCTACAAAGAGGTGTATACAATTTGAACGAAATCATCTGTATTCGAGTCAGACAGACGATCGATCGGACGGAAGAGCGGACTGACGACTCCATTATAACCTTACCGAATTCGTTCGATGGGATAATGAAATATGCATGCTTTCTAAATACTAAGTATTTGAAGAAAGTAACTTAGCCTGGCAACTAATGGGTTGTAATTGTAATTAACGAAATATACTGGCCATCGATCACGAACAAGTCCTCACATATTATGATGAATGGCCGTGGAGATTCAAAATTATGAATAAAACAATTACAAATCGAATATTTATAGATCGTAATTTCATAGCAATTAAAACTTAGTTTGGTTGAGTAGAAAATATTTCATAGCAATTAAAACTTAGGTTGGTTGAGTAGAAAATATTTGAAACGAATATTGAAGATCAGGCCCAACAGTTTTTTCTTATTCAAAATCATAATTTCAACTGTATTCTTCTGATCCTTTCAAAGAGATTATTGCAGGAAAGTATACATAAAGTTTGTGTTTATTGCAGTCGCTAGTATATGTGATAATGGTGTTAATTGAATTGCAGGTGGTTAATGTGAATGCAGTTTTATTGCAGGTTGTATACGTGAAGGTAACGTTTATTGCAGGAGATAGTTTATGTGAAGGTTGAACTGATTTATTGCAGGTGATAGTATACGTGAAGGTTGTGTTTATTGCAAGTGATAGTATATGTTAAGGTTGTGTTAATTGCAGGTGATAGTATATGTGAAGGTTGTGTTTATTGCAAGTGATAGTATGTGTGAAGGTTGTGTTTATTGCAAGTGATAGTATATGTGAAGGTTGTGTTTATTGCAAGTGATAGTATGTGTGAAGGTTGTGTTTATTGCAGGTGATAGTATATGTTAAGGTTGTGTTAATTGCAGGTGATAGTATATGTGAAGGTTGTGTTTATTGCAAGTGATAGTATGTGTGAAGGTTGTGTTTATTGCAAGTGATAGTATACGTGAAGGTTGTGTTTATTGCAAGTGATAGTATACGTGAAGGTTGTGTTTATTGCAAGTGATAGTATACGTGAAGGTTGTGTTTATAGCAAGTGATAGTATATGTGAAGGTTGTGTTTATTGCAAGTGATAGTATGTGTGAAGGTTGTGTTTATTGCAGGTGATAGTATATGTGAAGGTTGTGTTTATTGCAGGTGATAGTATACGTGAAGGTTGTGTTTATTGCAAGTGATAGTATATGTGAAGGTTGTGTTTATTGCAAGTGATAGTATACGTGAAGGTTGTGTTTATTGCAAGTAATAGTATATGTGAAGGTTGTGTTTATTGCAGGTGATAGTATGTGTGAAGGTTGTGTTTATTGCAGGTGATAGTATATGTGAAGGTTGTGTTTATTGCAAGTGAAAGTATATGTGAAGGTTGTGTTTATTGCAGGTGATAGTATACGTGAAGGTTGTGTTTATTGCAAGTGATAGTATATGTGAAGGTTGTGTTAATTGCAGGTGATAGTATACGTGAAGGTTGTGTTTATTGCAAGTGATAGTATATGTGAAGGTTGTGTTTATTGCAAGTGATAGTATACGTGAAGGTTGTGTTTATTGCAAGTAATAGTATATGTGAAGGTTGTGTTTATTGCAGGTGATAGTATGTGTGAAGGTTGTGTTTATTGCAGGTGATAGTATACGTGAAGGTTGTGTTTATTGCAAGTGATAGTATGTGTGAAGGTTGTGTTTATTGCAGGTGATAGTATGTGTGAAGGTTGTGTTTATTGCAGGTGACATTATACGTGAAGGTTGTGTTTATTGCAAGTGAGAGTATATGTAAAGGTTGTGTTTATTGCAGGTGATAGTATACGTGAAGGTTGTGTTTATTGCAAGTGATAGTATGTGTGAAGGTTGTGTTTATTGCAGGTGACATTATACGTGAAGGTTGTGTTTATTGCAAGTGAGAGTATATGTGAAGGTTGTGTTTATTGCAGGTGATAGTATGTGTGAAGGTTGTGTTTATTGCAGGTGACATTATACGTGAAGGTTGTGTTTATTGCAAGTGAGAGTATATGTGAAGGTTATGTTTATTGAAAGTGATAGTATATGTGAAGGTTGTGTTTATTGCAGTTGATAGTATGTGTGAAGGTTGTGTTTATTGCAGGTGACATTATACGGGAAGGTTGTGTTTATTGCAAGTGAGAGTATATGGGAAGGTTATGTTTATTGCAAGTGATAGTGTATGTGAAGGTTTTTTCATTGCAAGTGATAGTATATGTGAAGGTTATGTTTATTGCAAGTGATAGTATATGTGAAGGTTATGTTTATTGCAAGTGATAGTATATGTGAAGGTTATGTTTATTGCAAGTGATAGTATATGTGAAGGTGTTAATTACAGGTGATAGTATATGTGAAGGTTATGTTTATTGCAAGTGATAGTATATGTGAAGGTTATGTTTATTGCAAGTGATAGTATATGTGAAGGTTATGTTTATTGCAAGTGATAGTATATGTGAAGGTTATGTTTATTGCAAGTGATAGTATATGTGAAGGTTATGTTTATTGCAAGTGATAGTATATGTGAAGGTTGTGTTAATTGCAGGTGATAGTATACGTGAAGGTTGTGTTTATTGCAAGTGATAGTATATGTGAAGGTGTTAATTACAGGTGATAGTATATGTGAAGGTTGTGTTAATTGCAGGTGATAGTATATGTGAAGGTTGTGTTTATTGCAAGTGATAGTATATGTGAAGGTTGTGTTTATTGCAGGTGATAGTACATGTGAAGGTTGTGTTTATTGCAAGTGATAGTATACGTGAAGGTTTTGTTCATTGCAAGTGATGGTACATGTATATGTGAAGGTTCTTTAATTGCAGGTGATAGTATACGTGAAGGTTGTGTTTATTGCAAGTGATAGTATATGTGAAGGTTGTGTTTATTGCAAGTGATAGTATACGTGAAGGTTGTGTTTATTGCAGGTGATAGTATACGTGAAGGTTGTGTTTATTGCAGGTGATAGTATACGTGAAGGTTGTGTTAATTGCAGGTGATAGTATATGTGAAGGTTGTGTTTATTGCAAGTGACAGTATACGTGAAGGTTGTGTTTATTGCAAGTGATAGTATATGTGAAGGTTGTGTTTATTGCAGGTGATAGTATATGTGAAGGTTGTGTTTATTGCAAGTGATAGTATATGTGAAGGTTGTGTTTATTGCAGGTGATAGTATACGTGAAGGTTGTGTTTATTGCAAGTGATAGTATATGTGAAGGTTGTGTTAATTGCAGGTGATAGTATACGTGAAGGTTGTGTTTATTGCAAGTGATAGTATACGTGAAGGTTGTGTTTATTGCAGGTGATAGTATACGTGAAGGTTGTGTTTATTGCAGGTGATAGTATACGTGAAGGTTGTGTTAATTGCAGGTGATAGTATATGTGAAGGTTGTGTTAATTGCAAGTGACAGTATACGTGAAGGTTGTGTTTATTGCAAGTGATAGTATATGTGAAGGTTGTGTTTATTGCAAGTGATAGTATATGTGAAGGTTGTGTTTATTGCAAGTGACAGTATACGTGAAGGTTGTGTTTATTGCAGGTGATAGTATACGTGAAGGTTGTGTTAATTGCAGGTGATAGTACCTGTATATGTGAAGGTTTTGTTTATTGCAAGTGATAGTATGTGTGAAGGTTGTGTTTATTGCTATTGTTTATAGGTGTTAGCATATATGATTATGGTGTTTATTGCAGGTTATAGTACACGTGAAGGTGGTCTTCCTAAAGATCGGGGAGATCGACACCATCAAAGAACAATTCAACACAGACGCATTCATCCAGGCAAGATGGAGAGAACCCGCTTTAGACGACATCTGTCCGAAGGTAAACAATTACAGATATTGATGATTTAACTGAACCAAACCACCCCTTTCTTTCTCATATGAATATCTTGGGCTATTCAAGGGCTCGAATCAGATTTCTTAAACTTTTTATGCTTCTGAGACACACTATTTATATTTTCCCGCGATAAGGCCCAAACATCGTCAACTAATATACCCTATCAGCATAACAGGAAATATTTTCCGCTTTAGATTTCTGTTTCCTTCCAACAATAATTTGCCATTGTGAGTTCAATCTAAAAAAGTTGTCTAACTCGTTGGTTTTGAACCACTGTATTAACCAAGACGGGCTATTTATTAGATGAGGAATATGTATTCACTACCCATTACCAATGTCATTTTATTGTTATTGATTGAAGTTTTTTAATACCTGATAATATAGGAGATTGACAAAATCGATTTGGAACAATACTTTAATCCCGGTATATTTGTCGACAATGCTATTGGAGATCTCAAGGAGGATGTGTGGCATCTTATAGAGTTTGATGAGAAAAAACAGGCCTTTCTGTTGGAGAAACGACGCGTCAAGGGGCTGCTGTTGGAGAATCTTGAACTGAAGGATTTCCCATTCGATACTCAGGTTAAAATTGCTTTATGCCCAAAATGAAAAGAATGGGCATAGTCCAATTTGCCCTATGAAGTCCCATAGAGTCCTACCGTGTCCCATCGAATCTCACAAGCCTTGTTGATTTTGCCCCATGGAAACCATGCCCATCATGTCACATGGATTTCCACATTGCTGATCCACAGGTCACTTGCCATGTAACATGATCAAAGGTCCCACGATACCCCATGAAAAGAATGAACATGTTCATTCTCAGTTTGGCTTGGTAGGACTCTAACCCCATGACGCTCCATTAAGTCCCATGAAGTCCCCCGAGGTCCCACGTAATGTTAACAACGTGCCACATTCGAGTATGTTGGGCTTTACCTAGCCTTGCCCAAGTCGGTATTTTTACGAATCTGATCTTGAATTATTACGGCGGTCATAATAGAAATCAAGATAAGTAAAAGAGACCGACTTGGGCAAGGCTAGGCTTTACCTACAGGTTATTTCTTATTCTTTGAAATCATTTGAAATTCTTGGCATCGTAATTTTGGTATTGCCTACTCAGGGACCGCTGTAGTAAATCAATGTAAGATAACTTACTATATTTTTAAAGTTGGGGGGAAGTTAATATTCCAAAACGTTTGGCCGACTTTTACACTCTTCATGCACATGAATATTCACGATGAATCCATGCTGATTCAGAGAGTAATTCCGAATATACTGTAGAGGATTGGATTTTTATGTTACTTCTTGTTTATTCAATGTTATCGACAATTCTAGGATTTGACCTTGACTTTGACCTCTGAACTACCGGAATCTGACCTTGAGATACTCCCTGACCCCAATGAGTTGTCAAGTATCAACGTCAAGTCATTCGTTGATGAGCAGGAATGGCATTTGCACGACCACGTAGAAACAAGAACCAAGATAACTACTTCAGAGTACTCGAGTGCAAAACACAAACACTGCTCTCTCTCAATCACCGCAAGGGCCTCAAGAAGACCTGCGTTCTATGTGTGGAATATTCTTGTCATGATGGTAAGCTGTTTATCACTCTATGTGTGGAATATATTATTACGATAAGTTTGCAAATAACCCATTTTTTCTAAGTATATATTTTCATCCATCCGTGAAATTTAAAAGAATTTTTGCTATAATTGATAATGCATTCTATTAAAGTACAATCAAGGTTATCAATTCTTGGAAGTGGACGATGGATATAATTGATATACCTAATGTAATTATTATTTTAATTCAATGTAATTGGGTAGTATATATATGTCCAATGCAATCAGTTCAAAATAGCGAAATTTTTTAGAAGTAGTCAGTACATCACATTGTTATGCCAGCTGTGATAAAAAATGTATTTCACTCAAAGGTAATTCAAAGTTTCAGAATTACGATAGATCATTAATATTGATGTGAATCGAATTGCATGTCATCATATTTTCTGTGTTCTTTGTGGTTTAAAGTCACGTATACGTAATAAAATATCTAGGGTGATTGGTGAATGTTTACAATACAGGAGCGTACCCAGGATTTTTACCAGGGGGAGCGTCTACATCCATCGTAGTAAATAGCACGATCACAAAATTTCTGGTTTAGAATTATTTTATCAAATGAATATGATTAGACAATTTATTTGTGAACTTTTTTCTTTTTTAGCTTTTTATATCTGGCCTTATATTTTCTACATTCGCCATTCCAACCAGTCAGATCGCCGTTCGCCTTAAGTTGGCCTTCACCCTTGTGTTAACTGCCGTGACGTTCAAGTTTGTCGTCAACCAAAGCCTTCCCAAGATCCCGTACCTCACTTACTTGGTAAGTGAACTCGATAAGTTTGAATTTGGTCAGATTAGTGATTCTTTTGGGCATGGAATGCAAGAAAGCAATTTCTCTGACTTTATTCAATCATATTTTTCAGGACCGGTATGTGTTAACGAGTATGGGGTTTCTATGTATCATATCTATATGGCACTCTGTTTTGGCGTTCTTACACAGCGACGACAACGTGGTTCAAACCGTAGATGGGTACGGGTTACTTGCATTTGGAATATTATACACATTATTCCAAATACTTTACTACCTGTTTGTGTATGTAGCAGTAAGTACATTCAAATGAAATTATATTAATTAATTTGAAGTAAATAAGATGTCTTTCAAATCGATTTCTATTTGGAAATAAATTCATCATTTATCATTTTAAGTTATGCTCATAATCATTTTACCTGCTGATTCAGTATATCACCAATCTACGTGTACATCACCAATCTACTTGTACATCACAAATCTACGTGTTCATAATCAATCTACATGTACATCATCAATCTTCATATACATCACCAATCTACATGCATATCACCAATCTACGTGTACATCACCGATTGAAATGTACATCACCAATCACATGTACATCATCAATCTAAATGCACCTCACCAATATTCATGTACATTACATCACCAATCTACATGAACATCATCTACGTGAACATCATCAATTGAAATGTACATCATCAATTATATGTACATCATCAATCGTCATGTACATTCCCAGATTACATGTACATCACCAATGCACTACGTACACATCACCAATCTAAATGCACATCCCCTATCTACACGTGCATCACCAATCTATGTGTGCATCATCAATCTACATGTACACCACCAATCTGCATGTACATCGCGAATTTACATGTACATCACCAATCTACGTGTACATACATGTAATCAATCTACGTGTACATCATAAATTTCCATGCACATTACCAATCAGCGTGTACATCATCAATCTACTGTACATGTACATCACCAATCTACGTGTACATCACAAATCTGCATGTACATCGCCAATCTACGTGTACATCACCAATCTACATGTACATCACCAATCTACATGTACATCACCAATCTACACGTACACCACCAATCTACATGTACCTTTTTACAGTGTTGAGAAACTGTACTGAGCCCAGCAATATCCACTTCTTTCTCACAGAACTGTTGAGGAAGTTTATATTTTTCAGACGCTTTACAAAAGACAGAAGATGGTTAGGCTTGATAAGAAACATAAGGTATGCAAATGTATAAATAAATACACGAATGCTTTGTTCCAAAACTGGCCATTTTTATCGTGTGTTAATTTTAGGAAACAACGCATGAAGGGAATCGTCATTACACAATGCATTGAGTCTTGGGCTTAAATTCTTTTCACATATTGCAGAATATTCTCTACCTTGTCACTTAAAATATATGAAGTCACTTAAAGAACATACTTTCAATGAAACTTTTTGCAAGGGTCAAGTTGGTAAGCATTAATTCCAATCTATAGAGTCAAGGTGTCACCTTGAAAACCACATAAGGAGTGACCTAACCCCCCTAACACACCAAACTAGTTCTTACCCGTTCTTGCCAGTCCTACGAAAACGTCGTAAAACGGGCTCAATCTGGCTGTGGTCGGGAAATATGTCTACAATAATTAGCTACTTCGTTCATTAACAGTCTTCAATACGTCCATCTCATTCGCAGTTCGTTCAGGTCGTACCACGACGGTGTGCAACGTCGTGTAACGCGTCCCTTAGTCTAGAAGGTCATCATGACCTGATTACAGAACGGTACGGTCGCCATCGAACTTTGAATCGATTCAAAATTCTAAATTACATTCCCCGTCCGGGAAAGTCCATGGAGTTCGTAAACAGACCGTAGAATGTTGTAGCTACATTCATTCCGTTCGCACACAGTTAAAAACCTGTTTTGAAGAACGCAGTGGCAACTTGCTTGGGGTGATAGCTATATTTTTGCTAACTCGTTGATAAATACGTTCTTAATCAGTTTTAATCCGTTTGCAATTAGTTCTACGTCGTCCTCAATACATCCCCAGACAGTTTAACTCGTTGTTAAAACGTCCCTAGTAGGAATGAAGTACGACGGTACGTTCAGCCCGTCGTTAGCCTGTCGTTAGTAGGTTGTCACTCGTTCTAATTGTAGAACGTGACGACAAAGAGAACACATTTTTTAAGTTCTAGAGGACCTTCCCGTTCGAGTTCGTTCGACGATGAAGTTTGTACATAGACCCAAAAGGGTTCTAAGTACGTCCAGTCCGTTCGTACACAGTTGAAGCCCGTTTTCGAGAACGTAGTGAGAAATTTAGTGATTGTTGATGTAATGCGCTGCAGTTTTGTAAAATATTGTGTTCGGATTAGCTGTATTTGGATTAGCTGTATACCTTACCTATACATGCTATGTGTGAACTATCAATTACTACGTCAAATTTGAAAGATGAGCCGCGCCCCTCATCAGTATATTCACATGTACGTGTTTTTCGTGAATGATAAATAATAGAATTTTTACACTTTCATATTTCAGATTCGTCTCGCAATACAAGACCAGAGGAAGACAGCGTCTCTTTGTTTTGACAACCATGCTCGGGTTAAGACGGAAACAATTCTAGCAAGTCCTAAACGAACTCCAAAGCCAAGGACGTCACTTCCTGGGATTTCACGTTGATCTGTTCGATCACCATTCATCGTGTCATAATCACTTTCTTACCTGCCTAGCTAGCTAAACCTGACTAAAATATTTACTCATGTCTGAAAGGAACTTTTCATTTTAAATTATTTTAATGCCGATTTGTATTTTTTAACAATGGAGGCAATGATGTACACAGGGAGATATCCTGAGTACTAAAATGGTACTCATGGCATTTTAGAGCTGAATTGAGTAATAATTTCATCAAATATTAGTACTAAATGAGCACTTATAACATGAGTGCTGATTTATTGCATTTTCAGTACTAAATGAGTACTCCTATGATGAGTGATAAAATAACACCGATTTCATTGATTTTATTACTCAATGAGCACTCATACTATGAGCACTCATACTATGCACTCATAATATGAGCACTCATACTATGAGCATTGATTAAGTGCATGATTTAGTACTAAATTAGTACTCATATCATGAATAAGTACAAAATTGGAACACGTAGCACTCGTGCCAAGTGTAATTTAGTACTAATTTTGTACTAATTTGGTGCTCGGCATATCTCCCTGACTGTGTTGCACGAAATGAAAGATGATTTATGAAAACGTTGCCTTTCCTCTTTAAACTACTGGATTGGGCAGGAGAAACAGAAGGCAAAGATTATCATTTTACAAAATATATTTTTAGACAATGTAAAATATGCTGTTGCAACATATTTAATTAATTAAGCGAGTTTTAACAATACGTACCATATAATGTGCAACTTGTTGTACGTGTTTTGTTTTAACTAGCCACTAGTTTTAATAAAAGTTGAATTAAGTCCACAGATTTCTGACATCTACTACGCTGTATACATGGGGCGAGGTGGTATGATGATTGTATCAAACCTTTTTGGAACATATTAGGGGATTACGTCCTCATATAAAAACAATGAATAGTACAATAACGTCATTTCTCAGGGCGATATAGTGAAATATTTTACCACCGTTAACGACCAGGACTGAAACAGCAAGAAAATCTTACGCATTGAACGATATCTAATTTCCCGGGGAAAATTGCCGGTCCAGAATATATTCTAGACCGGTCCATATGGACCACCACTATGACGTCACACATTTCTCAGGTCGATATAGTAAAATAAACGCCTTCTAAACTAGCACTAAAACCCCTAGAACTGGCCCGGCAAGGTGGTAATAATGTATGTTATTTGTTCATCACATATGATCAATCATTTCACTGCATTCACACGATTATTTTTCTCGTGTGATTTTAGAATTGTTTCATCAAAAAATGTGAAAAATTAACTTTCAAAATAGCACGGTGGGGATTGTCATCACGTGACCTTCGTAATTGATGGTGTCTGACCAAGTCGTACGATTTTCTCGATTAAGCCAGAAAAATGAATATTTTTCATATTTATACTTTGTCAAAAGCGTCAAATTTCTCCCCACTTATGAATACTATCTCAGTCTTTCAAATGAACCTAAATTGACAAGCAGAGGACGCATATTATTTGAGATATGACTGTTTTTCGTCTCGAAAAATGATGGTGTCTGAACATCTCTAAAATTCTGTATGATGGTGTCTGTACAATTTTTTTAAATACACGACATGGATACCAGGCTCCATGTTTTCATGTGTAATTGTTTATTATATACTATGCATTCCTGTACTCTCGTATATTTAAGGCTTTGTATAAAAACCTAGTACCTCGTACTCACGTCCCGACCCACGTAGGCTACGTGGGGCATGATCATGCAGTCTTTGAAGGGTTCAATTTTTAAAATATAAGATCATTCAATCTTCGTCTATGCTGAATTGTAAATGCATTAGTGCACGTCGAAAAAAGACGAACGCATTCCGTTCGGAGTTCCGTATGTCACGCATTTGCTTTGAAATGTGTATATGTCGAGCATTTTCTTCGAAATATTTTATTTTGGATGTTGACTATACTCGTGCTACAAATGTACAAAGTGGATTAAGAATATAACTATACAACTGAATAATAACTCAAGGGAAATTGGTAACCTGCCTAGAATGTCAAGATAAGGCTGTCCCAAGGTTAAGAATGAGCATTATACCCAGCTCATTTGAAAGAATAATTAACTTAACATCGGGATATTATCAAGTCGATACATGCTGATATCCATATGCTAAGTCAATGGAACCAAATAAAATAATAAAACAAAAAAATGAAATGAAAATCAAAGGTTAAGGTCAAAATTGTCCTTTGCAACATTCTTTATCATAATTTCACATTTTAAATTTTGTAAACGATGATTTTGCACATGTGACCCATGTAAAGCCAATAGGAAAATATAAAATTGTACCTGCGTATAAAATCAGCAAAACCAAATGTACAAGATTGAAGTCTAAGAAGTTACCACATTGCCAGCCTTATCCAGAGTCAGGCCAAATATGTACAGCTAAGGCAAAGAAAAGATAATTGGCTTGATTGCCTTGAATTCACCTGGCTATTGAACTGTACAATAAAATTGACTGGCTTGCTTCCAAAGCATTTAAAGGCTAATGTTTTAAACCATTAAAGGGTCATGTTATTAAAACATGGGTTACACACACAATCTTTTATTATCAGATATGCACTGACTTGACCTTTACAAGGTCACTATGGCCTCAATAACACTTAGGATGCACCTGAACACTATGCCATAATTAACGCCTTACTAAATACCGTATGTCATAATGGTCATGAATGACCTGGGGGCAGTTTTATATACTAGTACTATACTTAGTATGACGGATCCTTTATCTATTAATGCTCGTTCACTAGAAACAATATTCACTAAAATTGTCACGTTTTTCATTTGCTGGGGACTTCCAGGAAGTTGTCTTTAAGGTGTGACTATATTGCCATATTTAGGTTGCATTACAACCTTGTCTTTATGGGTGTACTACTCTTCCCGTCCTCCAATTCGGAATCACCATCCACAATTGAGCAAACAATTACACTTTCGTGTGTTGGGATGAATTTACGATCCCCGAGACTAAAATCATTGTTCCCTTTTTGTGATTAAACAAAATGAAGTACAGAATTCCATTTAGCAAATCCCCGACATATTAAAACCTAATTTAGCGTAGATTTTCCCTTTTGGACGAGCCTTTGAGCCTTTGGCGCTATTTTAAAAAAAAGCTTTAAAAATTGAACCCTCCAAAGACTGTATCACGACTCACGTACGTGGGTACGTGGGCATAAGGTACAAGTTTTTTTTATACAAAGCCTATATTTAATAAGTTATTATACAGTGTAGAAGTACGGGGGATAAGCAAAACGAGGGCGAAGCCACTGACTGCGACTCGCGTAATTCAAAACGAGGTTACAACGCATTATAGCTGAACAATGGCGGTAAGTCCAAACTTAATTTGGAAGGCATGTTAGGATTTGGGGTAGATTATTGGTTTGGATATTCTACAGAATAGCTAGTATGTTCCAGTCGGTGATCAACATATTCATACTCCACCTGCAATGGCATTCTTGGTGCTCGGCTGTCCAATAGTTTAGCATGAACACAAATGAATTCGACATCTGCCACAAAAAATGTAATTTTGTCAATATTTGTCCCTAATATACCGATTTAAACAAAGGAATTAGAAATGACATCGAATTAATATAATTATTCATGTTCTGTTGTTAAAATTACATCTTCGTGTGATATTTGGTAAGCGGAAAACGTACAATTACATAGAAAATTGGAATTTATAATAGTCGCAGTCCATCCATCTGCCCAACGCAGTCCGCGACTCAAGTGTTGCTTTATATCTGAAGCTGAACGCAATCACAGCCAAAGGTAGATAGCACAATGTGTGTACAGGTGTGGCCGAAATGGAGCAACTTTGGACAAAATTGAATATAAAGGGCTATTTTAATAGACCTACATCGTGTCTCAATCCATTCTGCAAATATATACAAGCTGTCAAATACAGCTGAAATCATGAATTTACGGTAGCTAGCAATATTGATGGACTGTTGGAAAGATCATCCAAAATTACATTAACTCACCAACTCTCCAATTATTTGATATTTTCCTGATATCTTCCTGAAACAATAATAGCGTAGGAATATAGTTTACACTATCTTATTTATTTCGTGTTCGCGGCTGGACTGCGTTGCTTAGAATATCAATGGAGGCTGTGTTGCGTTGTTGAAATAGCTTTGTTTACTGGACTGCGTCCACTATGAATGAGCAGTTTGAATCTAATTTTCTCCTTATGGACACATTCTATTATCAAATCATTTTCACGAATTATACTCGGAGCCTCAACTAACCTTTAGATATCAGAAACGTGTTAAAACTCCTTTCAAATGTATAGTAAATTAAATAATATGCACATATTTTACAGGTAAAATCAGAACTTTGCTACTGTTTTAGCTTGATCTGGACAACTGCTTATTTTCTTATCTACAGACCAACAGTAGATACAGAGTAATATTTTGGTCACCGATTAGACACTACGATAGCATTTAAAATACCTGGATTTCTCTATTTTGTCGGAAGAAGCAGAAGGCACTGCCGGATGTCCCTCAATTTTGGCGCTGGGCTGCGGTGTAAAGCTACGCGAGTCGCAGTCCGTGGCTTCGCCCTCGTTTTGCTTATCCCCCGTGAGAAGCTAGACCCTATTAATGTTACATAATTTTGCAGAGCAATTGACTTTAATCAGGACAATGACATCACGAAGAAATCCTGTATTTTGATTGGTCAGATTTCTCTGGCCTCTCAAAAGGTGACTGGCTTTACTGAATAATCATCTTTGTTCACTCGGCTCCCGTCGGAACGCAGTGAAGACCGAGCGTGCGAAGATGCTGAATAATACCATCCCTGGGCAGTCTAAATTGATGGATTCATTTTATATTGTTTTATTCAAGTACATCAAGTAATCTTTTGTAATATTGGATAAATAACGTCTGATCAAATAACTTAATCGCCCAGTTTCTGGTGACAATACACGATGTATCTAAATTCCTCTGATGGATGATTGTCCAACACATGATTTGCAAATCGTTCACTGAATGTTGGGAATTCAACCAATGGATGGCAGTGATAACAGGCAAACATCACAATTCTAGGTTGATTTCGGTTTAACACATTGGAAAGAAGCAGATGTATTTAAAAAACACACGAAAACACGAGGACTACTTTCCAAGTAGTGTATTTTAAAATTTGTACAGACACCATCATGCAGAATTTAAGAGTTGTTCAGACACCATCATATTTCGAAATAAAAAACAGTGATATCTCAAAAAATAT